AAGAACGTAAGAAATGTAGTCACCTTTCCTGTTTGCGACAATATGTAAACAAATTTCAAATATGTAAACAAATTTCATCAAACTCATGACTGGAAGTGTTGCTATACTACTTAAAGGCATAGTTCAGCCTCTTGAATGATGGTTTTTAAGGCGCATTTCAGCCCTTTCAATTGAAAAAACAAACTAGGAAAATCAATTAAGCATAATTCAAGATCAGTGAACTCAATGTTTTTAACATTAAAAATGTTAATTTAATTTTTTAGTTGTAATGCGCCTTAAAAACCATCATTCAAAAGGCTGAACTGTACCTTTAAGGAATCTTTCGTTGGTAGGGATGCACTATCTGTAAAATACAAAGCGAAATTCGAAGTTTCGAGCGAAGGCCCTTCGAAAGCCCTTCGAAAGCCCTTAAAGCTTGTTACTTGAGGAATCGCTTATATATACAGGTGTTATATAACACTATATTTTGCTAGATTAGCCTTAGGAAATTTTTTTTTCGCATTCTTAAAATAGGTCTCGGACTCTCTGACATGAAACATTAAACAATCGTTCCCTTCCTGTACTCTTGCCAGAAAACGCAAAGCAATCGTTCAACACCGGTAAGTTACTCATATAATTAATGAAAAGTTGTAATATCCTTTCAAGCAGGCACACAAGTTTCGAATGATTGAAATTAACAATTGCGTTACGGACGGAAAACGACGCGCCCATTATATTAGAGAATGAATGCTCGAAAGCCAACAATTTGGTTACATTTTCATGTCACGCAGACACGAAATGTGATTGGTTAGGAGGTTAGGGACTGGAATAGGTTTCGTGATTGCGTGACATGAAAACATAAACCAACAATTTTCTTCAAATGCAGTGGAATCCCTCGGTTGAATCGTATTAAACATACATAGATGAGAATGTGTAAAATGGGCATGCCAAACAAATCAGCTGTTTCATCATTATTTGTGTTTCACTTGAAGCCAGGAATCCCACCCAGCCGCAAAAAGGCACATGCATTAACCATTGCCGCACAACGTACGATTAAACATCATTTTTCTACTATTTAAAACACGAGTAGGAGTGTTTTATCAGATATATATATCTGATAAAACACGACAACGAGTGTTTTGAATAGCTTAAAATACGACTACAAAAGAATACTAATTAGGATGAACCATAGTATAATCATGCTAATTAAGATGAACAATTATATAATGCCACATGTGTTTTATCAGATATAAAGTCACTCCACGTGACATATTATGGCTGACATGATTTGCCACAAGGTTTATGAATTATTAATGAGTATTTTAACTAACTTTACTGTTTTAATAATTATCAATGAAAGGAAAAAGGTGTTTACTATATCTAAACAACCATCATAATAAGATTTTGACGTAATTAAAAAAAATGCGACATTTGTCTGCATCCACCTCGGTCAATATTTTGATGGCCTCGACGTGCCTCCTCGACGATTTAAAATATTTAAACATATATAAATATTGGAACTCCTCTGTTGATTAATTTGGCAACGTTTGCAAGTCTGAACAAACAATGTCAGTAATTCCCTATGGTCATAACGTGTCGGGTATAAGCGGTTATAAGATATGCTGTTCATAAAGTCTGTTCATATGTAATGCAACTATGCATGTATATTGTTTGTAGTTTGTCTTCACGTTCGTATTATTCAATAATCGTAAAGACATGAATGGTATTTCGTTGAGAAAAACGAACATAAAGTCTATGTCAATCATCAGGAGTTTGTATCAGATATACAAAGCTCCTTCACTTCATCACATTCCTTTGGGGTTTTTTATGAATTATTTATGAGAATTACAAGTGTACTTCATGCATTCATACATGTTTTTTTAAAAGCATTCCCATTGTAAAATGTTATAAAACTAGTGGATGTTCCTTTGTAAAGCGTTATTGATGTTTTCCACAAAAACTAACTAAGATATGGAACAATTGTTAACGCTTTCACGCCCAAATATTTGTGTCAGGTTCGACCATAATGCCCCGAACCATTTTGACATTTTGAATGAGGCTAATTTATGCCCATCATAATTTTAATCAAGTCCCATTGTTGATCTGATAACAATGTTTACATAGGTGTGCAACAAGTTATTCAAAACATCGTCTGCGCAATCAGCAAGATCATTGCGCTGATATTACGTTTGTCCAGTCATTATCCAAACAAGATTCATGTCTCCACTGAAAATAGTTTCAGCACGTGAAGTTTTGTTCCGATTTTGGAAATGGAAATGTACTATTCCACTGGATTATTGTACACATCAGTTGAAGGCAACTTGGAACGCAATTCAAGTTTACTACTTATCTTTACCACCATAATTGAGTTAATGACCATAATTAGTGTTTCTAAAATACTGATGAAGGATATCTAGCTTTATTTCTTAATCAATTCAATGCAGTCACCTGTGTTGCTATTCAAAAATACATTGCGAAATATTGTATAAAATTTCTGATATTTTTAGTCCGTCTATTTTCGAAATTCTTATTTTGTTTTGGGAGAATAATCAAAATATTTCTTCTTTTAGAAAATTCGTAATCATTCTGCATGAAAATTGTACAGAAATTCGGTCAGTAAAAACTGATTAATAATTCATGAAATATTCAAAAGAAAGGAATGTTTAATCAATATTTGTAAAATCTTGTAAAATCTTTTATACGCTCCAATCCATCAAAACAACTCAATGATAATCAAATTTCCGACCTGATAAGGTTGTAGGATGTTCAACAGAAATTATCGTTAATTGAAAACAAGTGTTTTGGACCGCCTCTAAAAGAAAGCAAGCCAGAAACGACGGAATCGTCCAAATTAGAATGTTTCGCGCATCTAAAATAATACCATGAAGAACTGAAAGTAGCGTATAGAAATATGTTGACCAAAATTTTCTACAATAATTTCAGTTGAAGAAACAATGTATAAACACAAACTGCAAAATACTATAACTGACCAAAATTTTCCACAATAACTGCAAAATAATAACATCGAGGAGACCGAACAAGTGTGCTAATCAAAAAGGAAAATTTTAAAACTTTGGTTATATTTCAATTCCATTACAGAATCATCATCAAAACAAATAGGGATTAGGATCAAAACTATCAACATGCATATTTCACGCGATGGATTTGGACTATCCGGTAGATGCTTTCAATTATCTTCTGTATACATGCTTTCAGTTTTTAGATTTTAAAGCTTTAAAGGAACTTAAAGCAGCCGCGCCCACTGTTGTGCCAATGTATATTTATATAAGGGTATTCAATATTGAAAAGACTGCAAGGCAACCAAGTCCAAGATGTCTCATTGTCCATATTCTAAAGACATAAATGATGTCCCCAGAAAGATATGTGTCCAGCCGTAATAATGACATGATACATTTATCATCACAATAATTAGCGAAATTACGGTTAACCATGTTAATTTGGAATAACATGTTCCACACCAATATAAACACTGTTATCAGATCAATAATGAAAATTGCTTTCAACTTACGTAAAACAATTATGAAACATATGACAATAATTTTAAAGTTAGTTCATCCAGCCTACAAAAATATACTCCCTTCATAACTCATAAGGCACAACTAAATGTACTGTATTTTAATAATACTTCCATCCCCACGGCAATTGGTATGGAAATTACAGTATATTTCCATACTCTTTCTTCAATGTCAAGACAATGAAGAATACTACCAGAGCATCCTTGCTTCATATGAAGTTCATGTTTGTGAACACTGAATTACCAACCGAAAATTTAGAAACTTACAAACATTAAATACAAATATATATGTATGTGGTTATGAATATTTTTCATCAGAAAAATATCCTCGAGCTGAATATTAAACATCCCAGATGGAACATTGTTGAAGACATAGTTAAAAGAATGGCGTGAATGATACGAAACGAATGGCGTAAATAAGGCATCCTTTGACATTCCTTTGCTAGTCTGACTGAAGCTATTAAATGTCACCCACAGCAGCGTCTTCATCAAGCCCGATTTCCACTAAGTGAATTTATTCGTGTGAAGTGACTTTTTCTTTTGTCGGCATCACCCTTTGTTCTTATAGGGGAATATATTCAATATTCCCCTCTAATCAATTTCCGTTTAATAATCCCCTCTAATATTCACCTGCAATTAATAATCCCCTCTATTAATATTCACCTGCAATGTCTTTGCAGCACAAAAAATAAGAAAAAAAAACAACATGACGAAGGCAATATGGCATTAAGAATTATTTCTATTCTGACTCATTAACGCGACCTCGCAGTGTGAAAAATAAGTACGTTATTTTGAGGCACCTCGGGGATATGTGTTTATTCACCTCGGCGCTGCGCGCCTCGGTGAATAAATCACATATCCCCTCGTTGCCTCAAAATAACCTATACATATCAGCATAAAGCGATGCCGACAAGGGAAACTGTGCCGACAAGAGAAAGTCGCGTACTGGAAAACCGGCTGAACACTAACAGGCCTGATGCATGTAAATGCGAAATATATGGCTTCATATATTCTTTAGATCATCGATGAAGAAGACGTTGACGCAATATGTCGTGAATGCAACTTGTTCAGAGATTAGAAGTACTGCATGCAATTATTCAGTATATATTTGGGATCATAGGGCTATGATAGATTTAGCTATACCACAGTTAATAGAAGGTCATAGCCTTGTTCACGTTCCATTTCATTCTCCATAATGTTTTCGTCGCATTTGAGCCACAAGTCAGGAAATTATATAGGATTTCATACAGCGCTATTGAAATTTGACATTGTAATTTATAGTATCGCCATTGGCACCATGCACTATATTGGTCATGTGACTATAATTTTGGCTGTGGCCGACATCATTTTCCGCTCCCCGTTTGAAGTTTGCTGGCTAGCCTAACCAGCCTTCTTGTACTAACTGTGGCTATACGGATTACGAGTATTCTAGGAATTCAAGTTAACATGCAAATTATTGTATTGATTCAGTTCATCCCACACTTACCATATTTGTCCCCGTCGGTCCCTCTCGCCACAATTCTTCCTTTGGATATGACTTGAATAAAACGGCCAGTGTTTCGTGAATATAACTGGGTACGCCGACGGTTAGGGAAGCCAACTTTACTCCCTGTGAAATGTTCTTTTGTTTTACTATAGTGGTCATAAAACAGGCTCTGGAAAAACGAATAGTGATACTTTAGGGATGATTCGCGTGTTATAACATATAGTGCAATGATCTGACTTCTTCAATGTCAATGATTTGGCTGTGAAACTTGTTTTCTTTTCATTGTTAATCCTATAACTGTTACAGTAAACACACAAAATTTACTGAATAGCAAAACCTAAGCAAAACTGGCATTTGTAAGCTGCACAGAGATTACATGAATAATCCTGGGAAACATGACAAAAAGTAGGCCTATGCTTCGCCAAACGTCAATATATGTGCTATAGAAAATATTAATTCAGATTTCAGTATTAAAACGCTATATCTAACAAATTCTTAGCAAATTGGATTATTGACGTTCACAAGTGCATATCTTCGCTCCAAAAAACTTATTTTAGTCAGTCTGATCAACATAATAGCGACATTGTCTCGATAATTTAAGAAGATTATAAACATGCTGGAATAGTGGCGGAAACACAATCAGGATGATATTAAATAGCCAAAGAAACTGCCTGAAACTGCTGAATAAGCAAGGACCACTTATTAAGTGCTACCCAAACATGGCATTGTAAACAAGATTTAAAAATTTACAAAACTCATTGTTAACAATGCGGATTTGTTTCTCGTATACCCTGCCTGAATTGTGCCAATAACTTGAAAACGTCTGTAATACTGTATACTTGAATCTCACGCATCATGGAACTCGTGCACTAGTGGGAAGTTGACATTATTGTACTTCTATCAAATACCTTTCGATTAGGCAAGAAAAGCCTGTAGTGTATTACCTAACCATAGTATTGTTAACACTCAGAGTTTATAACTACTGCCTTATTCCATTGACTTTTGCTTGTATACCACGAAATATGTTGTATATAAACAAGCGTATCACGGAACTCGAAGGGATGACTGTCCTTGACACTTCTCAGTCAATGATAATTTTGTTTAAGTTAACATTCCCAAGTCAACAATAACAACATGCCAAGAATATTTTAGTCCCAAGGTAAGATCAGAGTCGTATGTGATAATAATGCTTCCAGTTTGACTCTACAAACACTACTTAACACTACAGGTGTTTTGGGTCACTGTCCTCTTGTATTAATATTGGATCTACCATCAAGGGGTGACATTGATCTTACCTTTCACGCTCGAGCTCTTGAATAGGAGCGTATGACTAGAGCCAATCAGGAGGGTATTATACCACTTCATGGTGCATATCATTGTGTAGGCTATCATGTTATATATTTAGTTTAAGAGATTTGAGGACCCTTATCCGACACTTATGCCAAATGAGTAAACCTATAAACAATCACTTGAAATCATCCTATTATCTCCGCACTCTTCCATACACAACATTCACGGTTGCCATATGGCTAAATCCAGTAACTAAAGGCAGACACAGTGGCGGCATTCCATCGTTTTGACTCCAAGACTTCGCAAAGAAGGTGTCTTTAAAACAGGGTTTACACAATGTCACACACTTAAGTTTTGCGGTTTCCTACTTTATTTAAATGCCGCTATGTTCTTTATTTTTATTTTTTATTTCAAAAATTTTCCCCATGTACAATAAATTTATGTGTAGTATATTTACAATAATTGTAGAGTGCGGGCTAGAGACCTACTGGAAATCTTAGTAGACTTTTTATTTAGGTCTCTAGTTATGCTAGTTTGTATTTGTTTGTTCCTGTGAATGTTTCAAACGCAAGGGTGGTGGTACTATTGCAGGTGGTACTATTTCTACTATTGCAGTGTACCAATGCAGGTGGTACTATTATACAACAGAAAGGTTTTTGTAAAAATTAATTAAGCTGCCTGAGGATTGTGTCCGAAATACGTGAATGAAATCATAGCAAGTAATGAAATACATTAGTAGGCTACACTTCGACATCTTGAGCGATGCCCTTTCGTCAGGGGGTTAATAGCTCCAACAACCTCCTAGAAAGAGCCTTTACTTGAAATGTTCAAGTTCCTGCGAATACCCATCATTTTTGCTAAATATATCACCGAACAACTTTTGCTGGAAATTTCTGATCTAGCTGCACGGATCTTCCACAAAGAAACTACATAATATACTGGTATGCCAGAATGCTATATGCTGCGCCATGCAGTATGGTTTTATTAGAAAACATAATTTCGATACCTACCTGAATATCAGCACGATGTTTTCGCAGTTTCGCATCCACCATGTTGCTCATAATTGCCCTACAATACAGTTTGATAGAAAACCAACGTGAGAGCAATCGATCGATCAGGGCAGAAAATGGGAATCAGCCTAAAACTATTGTAATACAATGAATAAATATATTTCTCAAAATTTCAAGAGAGACCTTCATATACATGCGTATACTTAAGATTAAGGTATAGAAGATAAATCAATGACACAACAGTGGATCATAGAATCTATACTGATAGAGAGTAATCATACATCACAAATAGAATAATCCTTCTAACATTTACACAAATACAGCCCTACAGCTGCATGCAACACGAAGGGAATGTATTGTAATATAATCAATACGTTCCTGAAAAGGAAAAACTTCAGAGAGTCTAAGAAATTTAGATCATGTTAAAAGTTATGGTTATATAAGTGTACGTTATAGTATACTTACAAGAGTAGAATGACACTTCTTGCGACCAAATCCATTTGTCTAGGCAATCGTATTTACTCTTCGTCGCTATGTACGTATATCTCAGTAGAACTTCGCCTCGAGCTTTGGGAGCGTGCTTGAAAATGGCGTATTTAAAACGAACAGCGCTATTTATGTACGAAGCCTTTGGGCAAGTGTTTCGGTGAGAAGGAAGTGCTCGCAAAATCCCTTGATAATTTTAATTGGAGTGTTGAAAGCTGCACCTTCATTTCCTCCCGTCAAAATGCCGGCTGACTCGATCGTTAAGGAAATACTAAATTCACCAAGAAAGAAAACGCATATATTTATCAAACTGGTGTTCTTTGAAGGATAATCTGCTGTATTTAGTGGAGCTACACCATCTTATGTTGTGCCTCTTCAATCCCCAAGAGTGTCACAAAACCGTTTAAAACAATTATAATGATAATTCCATTAGTCATGGTCCGAACATATTTGGGGAGGAGGAGTAGCCTTAAATGACAAACTGTCTTTTCCGGTCTGAGCAAATAATTTTTGTGCGATGAAGTTTGATGTAGCCGATCCCTGTTTGTGCGCGAGTTCGGTAAAATCGGGAATTAGGATGTCCGTGTGAAAATGCGCCCCATACGGAGAAGACTAAAAGGTAGCGGTCTCGAAATTACGAGCTCGCCGAAGATAAATTGTTCATAAATGTTTGAACATAGATGGCAAACAGAAACGTTGTTGCTGCTACTGAGGACAATCCAACCAACGTCTGTCAACAAAAATTGTTTGTGCGAACAAAACAATTAAGATCCAACACTTCGCCTTGATGCGATTATGTATCCGAGCACGGAAAAGTTTTTGAACTCCAAAGGCGATTTATTAACGCTGGCTTAATATTGAAACCGATATTCAGACTAAATTATAACAGCTTTACAGACTTTGCTAAAGTGCTAACGCTTCCGATCGTTTTTAAGAAGCGTGCACGAGGAAAATCATGAATTATTAGTTTATGTTCAGAAATGTCATGTAATAGTTGTGAAACAACGTTAGCTATACGTGCAGTATATAACGCAAGAGATTGGAATTTTAATTTCTGAGAAATGTTATGTAGTGCGGTGTGAAGGATACTACAACAAGTACTTAAAAATATAAGCAGAACTGTCTGCCTGTGCCCAAGGATCTTGTGAATCCTTGAAGTTCTAATCATGCATACTTTTCATTTCTTGTTATTTTTTTCTTTTATTTTTTTTCCTTGTTATTTTTTTCTTTTTCATTAGTCTTAACCCTCTTATAAAAATACCTTTATACATACCGAAAAAATACCTTTATACCATATACCTCAGTCCTCACCCTCTAATACTTATTACCATCTTATACCTTAATTATTACCCTCTTATACCTTACTCTTACCTATATAGTCCTCACCCTCTTATTCAATATAGATTTATAGAGTTTCAACTTATTAACGGGCTGTTATACGAACCATTGAAAGTCATCTTTTAGACGAACTGAATATCGGATCCGAAATCAGATGTTTTAAAATCACACGAAAACGTAAGAGTACTGTAGGATAATTAGGCAAATAACACAATTTGTTTCACAAGATAAGGAAAAGTACTCGCACCTAAATTGCGTGGGAAATTAGAATTGCATTTATCATGTCGATGGACCTAATTAACCTTATCTGTGACATATCTGAGGAAACAGTTGCATGACCATTGTAATCAAGTATTTATGGCCAAAAGATATGCTATGATGCTCTCATTCAGAAGATATTATCTGACTACATTTCTTTATGCCTATTATGGGATGTTTCTATGTTGGATGTACAAATGTTTCAGTCTGATCACTGCATGAATGGTGTGTTATCAAACTTTGACCCAAAAACGTTTGAGTTAAAATGTCTTCGAAAGATGTTAGCCGATCATATATTTTTATCAAGACGTACTCTGACCCACGAAAGTGACCTCGACATGGTGTTAAACGAGCCTTATCTCTCTACTGTCGACATGTAAACATGGTGGGTACATATCGTGGTTTAATGAATTAATGTCGTAGGAGTTGCTGACTAGACTTAACTTGATAATTGCAGGAAATTAGACATGATCGACTCAATCTTACGTTTGTTTTGCTATCGATGCATGTTTTGATAGAAAAGAGCTAAAACCACAGACAAATCTTAAGCTTTTCTCAGGCAAATATAACTTCTCAAAAACAATAGTTCGTATGCGAAAATTAGACAGACCATTATGTAAAGAGAAACATATTTTTAAGTTTAAACAGCCAGTGGAAGTATACTTCATATCACTAGAGCTACCGAATTTAAGAAGAAAAAATGCTTATAGACAATTTTTCTTTCTTTATAAATACAAAAGTTTGGAATTCATTGCACAACTGCTTAGAATTATTCATCCACAACTCCGCTTTATTCCGAAAAGCCGAAACAGTTATTCGGCCTAGCATTTGCCAGCTGAACAACGTACCTATACGAAGTATTACTAAAAGATATACACATGCATGTTAGTATACTAAAGGGACAATCAAGCCCCTTTTCAGAAACGAGAGAAAATCGACAGGGAAACTGACTAACATTGGACTTTGCTCCAATATAGGCTGCAAAATACTAATAAACAAAAACAAAACTCTAAGGGAACGAATATCAGTTGCTGCCCACCAATATTTTTTGACCCTGGCTATATCTTGACTTATTAATTACACTAAAAACTGTTAGTTATTTACCTGGAGCCAGACAGGTGCGTGCAATGTCTGACTGAATGGCACTTCTTCTACTTTTTTAAATTCGTCGATCCATTTCCGTCAGAAAAGTTATCAAATGGGATTATTGGCAGTATATTTTTACAATGAACAGAACATACAGTCATGTTAATAAAATTTTACAGCTATGGACTATATTGCAGTATTGGGAAAAGATCTAGCTTCAATTAACCCACTCGCTGATTACACTAAAAAGTGTCTGAACTAAACAAGGCAAAAGAGCTTTTGTTTGTATATAAAGTATTTTTACAACCTCTTAAAGTCACAAGTTGGACAAAAGTATTTTTCACAACCTCTTGAAGTCACAAGTTGGACAAAAGATTTCGTAATATGCAAGCGCTGATTGGTGAAAGGTCGTGCTCGGGTCACATGGATGTATCACGCAAATTACCCACCCAAATGAGCGTAATGTAACAATTAAGTTTATACAAATTTCTCTCACGATATTCTGTAGAAAATGAAAGTAAAATGAAACTATATCGGTTATGCGCAAAACTGAAATTGATAAAACGAGGAAAAACTGGGAATATAGTGATAAGCTCCGTCTATATAAACACTGCATGGGGAAAGGCTCAGAAGTTCAACCTCATTTCACATATACAGATATGTTGCTTGGTTGGGAATTGCCACTTTGATGCAATGTTAAAGATAAAAATGTAATGGCCTATGTTAAAAAATTAATGGCCTATATTTCTAGTTGGTGATTTCGTCAGATGACGTTTACCACATATTTTTCACTGCTGGGAAAATCGCAAACGAGGTTGAATGTTGAATCGTGAATAATTAACAAGCTTCATGTATAAAAACTTGAACTATATACTAAGAAAAATACCTTCAAAAACTTGAACTATATACTAAGAAATGGAAATTACAAGAAATGTGCAATATGCATGAAATATGCAATGTTAAGCATCGCCAAGCAATAACAAAAATGAGAATATCTGCGCACAAACTACCGGTTGAATCTGGAAGATATACCAAAACACCATACGAAGATCGGTTTTGTACCTTATGTCAATCGAGTGAAATTGGAGATGAATTTCACTACTTATTATCATGCTCCAACCAAAAAATTTCAGAAACTCGAAATATTTTTTTGATGAATAAAGATTATTATTATTATTGTATACTCAATCAAATTTCATAAATGATGCATGAAAACTTGGATTAGTTAGAAGCACTATTGGTCGTAAACATATGAATAAAAGCATATTAAAGTGTTAATAATAAGTGATGTTATCAATAGCCTTTACTTTTGTTAGAGGTCAGTCGAATATGCAAAGGTATTATTTTGTAAACATTGCTTAAACTAATTTTCTGAGAATTGCGTGCTTTCGTTAGAACATATAAATAACTAGAGAAAATAGCCTCAGTCTATATAGTTATTTCGAGAGTCATGCAAATATTAAGTAGCTGTTAAATATTGTTTAACAGTTTCCGACTGTTGTAAAAACACCTAATAATGTCGTTTGTATCTATTGATGATTGGAAACATACTCAGCTCGTTGTTTGAGCATCTATTACATATTATATATATATTGATAAATACCGCGCAATTTTTCAGTTCCTTAATGAAGTGTGTCGGTAAGGAAGTTCACAGTGCCAAATTACAAAACGACTGGTCATTTAAAACACTCGCCGAAATATATTTGTAAACACTCGTAGTTTCTATTCGATCTTCTGGTTTCGACCGCTTAGCACGGTATAGAAAGCAAAAATGTTTCAATGGAACTTACCTTTATCGTTGACCTTTACCACGCGCACGTTTTTTGGGTCAATTTAGAATGTGTTGTTTATATAGCACTCTATATATGAATAACAGAAATAGAATGAGTAGGTCAAAATTAGTAAGAACACAAAATTTGGAGGCTATATTTTAAAAACTGTGGCACTACAGCGCTGTTTCCAAAAACCGAAAATTTACTAGGGAATGTATATGGAAATTAGTGCACTGACCATTTCAAGGCTCGTTCCCATCATATACAAATCCACATATATTTTCTAATACAATTCCGAATTTCATATATATATATTTTAAAATTGTAGCACCACTGCCATGGCTTTTAAAATAAATCTTCTAAATCTTTTGTTCTTTGATCTGCTCTTTGATTCAGGCAGTTACTGTATAGCGTGCATGGTAACATGAACTTTTAAATCGACTCAACAGGAGTGACACAGCTCTATATAGAGCTGCATGGGTTATTCAAATGAACGACAGTTTTTGGACGAATTTTATTGTTGATATCATGCACTTCCAGCGTATAAAGAAACTCCATTATGATATTATTCCTTTTCAGGACGTCACCTTATGAGGAGTGGGCCTGGGGAGGAGGTTTCTAATTCAGTGTATACATAGTTTCAGGGAAAATTAGAGATAGTGGTGCAATGTGACAGGAATTTGGGATTTCTTGTTCCTTCAAGAAATATTCTAATATATAACTGATATTCTAGTATATATATTCTAGTACAAGTGATACTCTAGTATACTGATGGCTTTTGTTGTATTTTGCTTTCTTTTTGTTTCCTTTTTGTTTGAAGTACTCCATACTTGTTTATCCAGCACTGTGCAAGATCTGAAACAAGCTGCCACCCATGCAGTTGACTAACTATGGATGTTTTTTTTCACAACTGATTTAAGATTCAGTGTATGCGCCTCATTATTGAAGGTTTCAATCCGACCAGCTAGTTTCCTGGGCAGTTCATTTGTGTAAATAGGCTGTGCTATGCCGACATGCAAACATTCAAATACAAAAACAGCAAAGAACCAAGTATATATAGTTACTAGTTATGGGAGGTACTGCGCGGTTGCCATTATTATGTTAGTTTTACCCATAATATTTTCTTTTTCCTATACAACAATTTTTAACATAACTCCACTCTCCCGTGGAAAATGTACTTTTACTTGATAACACGTCTCAAATAAGCCGCTGTCATACGAAGTTTTTTCTTAAAATAATTATAAAAATATTTCTACTTCTAGAAGAGTTTTACTCGTTATTGAATATTACATATGACTATACCCACGACACTTTTCAATTTTTCATATACCTAAGCAATGCGCCATGTTTAAAAATATACCGTATCGTTGAACCGCGGTGATCAATCAGTCCTACTTTCGAAATCATTAATCATCCTGTCAGTAGTTTCTCACTTTGAACAAGAGAGTGCGTGGACCGCCCTTTCCGATGAGTTGCGCTTGATGTTGTACTGATAAAGCCTGCATTTGTTTGCCCGCTTCCTGCTCAACGCTAATGAGAATATAGAGAGACAGCCAAAAGAAAATTACTTGTTTATTGGCTACGTGCAAATGTAAAACGTCGAGGTCAAGGTTATTAAAAGCAGAACGGTTGGAAAGTCCAGTATAGGGTAAAGTGAGGTCCCAAGAATGAACGTTGAGAATGCATATATACAATGCCTTTTAATTTTTATTTAATTTATAATTACATCTATAGCCATGCAGGATACCCAGATCACAGGCATTGGGATCTTGCATCTGACAATTACTGATACTTTTTACATTCAACATGCAGTGCTTGACTAATTTATGTTACATTATAAAAAAACCCAAATGCGTTATCTTACATTGACAGTTTTATGATATACCTCAAAGAATAAGAAAGAATAAATATTAATAAGAACATTGTAAACTTAGTGGCTTAACATTGATAAGAAAAGTACTTAACCGCATGCAAGAGATCGATCGAGTGTGACATGCCTCTCATGCGTACCACAATTTGAAGATATATTTATTTAAAATATAAGAGCTGATTGACATTTCGTTTTCCAATGCGTCATCAGTTTATTGGTTCCACCAGAGCGATTATAGCAGCATATCCTGTGATCTAACCCATTATTTAATAAGGAATATAGTATAGTTGCAGAAATACATGGGGGTTATATGTCACAAGTAACAAGGCCCAACAGGTCCACTTGTGTCTTCCTCGTCAACTCGCACAGCAATGGTGTGTTCCTCAACAGAGTACCAATCCTGATTTTGGGCGTTGTTGTGCTTCCCGCACATGGGTACAATGAACACCCCGCATTTCTTTTTCATCCGTACATGGGCTCCACCTTCTGCCTGTTCCATACAGTGCCTGACGCGACATAAGCTTGGCCATTCACTGTCACTATGGCGAAGCCAAAATTTCTTCCACGTTCCGCGTTTTCGTCCTCGTGGATGGCAAACATTAGTTCCCTGAATGTTTTGCACTCGCATGCCACCTTTCAAGTGCAATTTGCCGTACCTAAAACAAAACAAAAAAACTTTTGAGTAACCCATAAAAAATATAATTAGCTATATAATCGCAGAAATTGTGAAATTGGGTATATTTTACAAAATATTTTACATATTTTACACTTCAATTTTGAAGTCTCAACCTGCAATATTCATGGGTTCAGAAGAATCCGGTCAACAAGATCACCTTACTTCTCAACTAGGTTTTCCACCAGCTCTGTTATAATTTCTTCTTTGTCAATACGAACAGCGAGAGTGCCAGAGTTCACTGAAAAAATTTCTGAAATCTCTCGATGGTCGTCGCATATCGGGATGATATACTCAAAATCTTCATCATAGTTTACGATTACATGTGCACTTCCATCTGCATTATCGCCGCAACCACGAAATCTGCACGTTTCTGGCCACAATTCTCCTGACTGATCACACCAATACTTCTTCCAGGACCCAATCACTGGCTTAGGAGTGTTGCTTTGGATATTTTGGATACGATCAGTGTTACGTAACTTGCGAAGGCTCATCCTATATAGAAAACAAGCAAAGATTTCATATTTTTCTTTAAATATTCTTTTAACATATATAGGCATAATTTTAGTGCACACTATGTCACTATATACTGTACCTAAAATGGTAGACGTTACGGGCTAATTATTCCGGCTGGGGGCGGGCCATTAAATGGTTTGTTTAGGGGGGAGACACACATAGATTATTCATTACACTAGAGAAGATTTGTCTTACCTTACCACCAACAAAAACTATTTCAATTAAACCACGTAGCGGGGAATTGTGAATATTCAATATATCATAACCTTAAATTTGCATTTCAGGCGGTGAAGAATATTAGTTCTTCTACTCTAATCTCTATCGGCGGGCTTCGCTCGTCCCACTTTACCCTCTGCTCCGTCGCCCCAGCACACAAGTAATTTGTGAGGAAAACAGGGCAGTCCTCTTCCAAAAAAGTTTTAGATTTTTATACTTAATGACTGCATTTCTGGATCACAAAGAAAACGACAAGCATATTTTAAGGTTATATTTTATATTTTTGAAACAGAGTAACCCTCAGAGGTGCTGTTCCATACGAATTTCATAGCCTATAGGCTATACAGGTCTAAGTCTAAGAACCATTGCTTGTGACTACACGACTCAATTTGAAAACTTCTTTGAAACTGTAATTAATATACGACCAATCTAATCCCTCGCACTGTTAAAAACGCATAATTTATTCTTATACCGTAAAAGCATCGATATATAGATAGTCAGAAAACTATAACAATAAAATTAGATATACATTAGCCGTACCTGATGCTTTTAAAATGAAAAATATTCTTTATTATTGCACACACACCTACAAACGTATATGTTAAACTGCGATTATGCTTGAAGATGGCGATTGTTAAATACTTATAATTTAAATGACGTAACGTGTCAGGGATTTTCCCTCTGAAAATAGAACGAAACAATACATACATATATTATAGTCGTAGACTGGTGGTAGTCAGATGACTGTTTTATCATGAACAGTGCTTTCAAAAATTCAAACATAATCACATGAACTCACCTATATCAGTTTTTACCTTTCATTGACAGCAAGAGTTGCATCATATTGCTCTTGGCCTTGCTGTTTCATGAGAATTGCATTGTTTCGAAATTTTTGCTGACTACGTTGTTTGAGGAAAACAACACGTTATACTATTGCAAAGCTTTCTATCCGTAAATCCGGATTTTCATCATATTATTAAGACAAAATCCATGAGACTTATGGGTCGAAACCTTTTTATATAATAATAAATAAACCTGGTGTTTTCCACAAGCCAAAAAATAATATGCTTACTGCGGCATATTCAGTGGGTGACACTTAACTGTCATGCAAGTTCGATCGCGTAGGTTTAATTAACCACAGGATCACCATAGTCATAGAATCAAAACATCAACAATAAATCTCAACAAGGAAATAGAAACATCCAAAACTGAACAATATCCCATGCACTCAATCACGAATAATGAAAATTCGCAAACATTGTGAAAATTAATTCCAAACAACGTAGAAATTACAGAAACATGAGTCATGATCTATTTCGATTTACTACTTCAAAACCAAATATGTATATAAGTTGCAAAACATGTAGCCTCAGCACTTATTATGCCGAAGCTACCACTGTACACATAATAATAATAAGATAATAATAACTTTATTCATAAAAAAATACCAATACTGGTATATATAATGAGTACATAATTTGTCTTTCATTGCAAGAATATACATAAATAAATCGTGATTATTAAAATAACTAAATGAGTGGTTTATCTGGTTAAGTTTATATATATATATAAAAACGTCCCTGATATTAGTAAATTTTGCATTATTGCACTGCATTAAATGATGTTGTTCGTTTCCTACCTCGTTTAAATTACAATGCTGACATATTCTTTCATTATATGGAACTTTGCAATATCGACCTGTTTCAACAAGTAATCTATGCGGCGAATTCTGAGCTTTGTAATAGCTTGGCGATGCTTAATATTGCCAATTTCAGCAATATATTTTTCAAATTCGAAATTTATTTTTAATCTTTTGTGAATGTCCTTAGTTTGCCTTGATTTCCGCTTTGTTGAATATTGTCTTTCCAGTAATCAACAAAGCGCTCTTTTAAAATATTTTTCAAACAATGGCAAAAGTTTTCCATGCAGTTCTTTTTGAGGTATAATGAAATTTTTAAGGCTATTGTTCCAGCAAATATTTAGTAAAGGAAGTTGGTTGCAAGTTTAGATCCATACAGATTTTTGCTGCTTCACCAACCTTAAATGATTATCCTTAAATGATGTGTTGTTTATCCGTAGCCAAAATTTTGCTACCTGACCCACCATATGACCCACCACTCAAGGAACAAACAATTATAACAAATGGAAAAAAAAGGGACCAAAAACCTACACAGAATGTAATCATCGTGTTGGGATATCGACTGCTGCATGGGAGGACGTAAATGAAATACGAATTAAAGCCATGCAATGGTGAACAGAGCCAACAAGATTGTTCGATTCATACCATGTAAAAGAGAACCCATCTAATTTGTTGCATCAGAGATTTTTTTACGCATTTTGTATACATCAGGTTTTTTATAAAGATTAAGCACATGATTTTAGTTGGCCGATTTATGCCAGATGATCTTGATACGTGGAAAAGTACCGGCACTAGTTGTCAAATAGAAATCCATTTTATGATTAAAACAACTGAATATCTCCTGTAATATACTTTATTTCGATTCCATATTTTTGTCAGAGCTATAGTTCTCGTAACCAAACATAATTACAAAATTTCAACTAGTTTCATAAAGAATAACGAAAGATATAATTGACTGAATACATCAAAATGGATTTCTATTCGGACAACCCTTTCTGAGCGCTGATTGGCTAAAATACGAACACGAGATCACCTGGTGGTTTAGGTGCATGGTATTTAACGAAGCCGTTGATGAGAAGTGAGAATAATGAGCCCACATTCTAGTTAGAGAAGGTCAATAATTTTTATGAGCACCTTTAATAGAGCAAAAAATTTTGCTAACGAGCTTTGTGTTCTTTTTGCTTTTATATGGATATATAATTAAGATAAGACCATATATATAGACATAGTTTTTCAATGCATCAGCATGCTGCTTATTAGGTCAAAAAGAGTAATCGCAATATCATGTCCTACATGCCTATTAAATTAAATTATAACAAATCACTTTTTATATTAATATTATTTTTAATTAATAAAAGAAATTACCAGGGCCATATATATATCAAGTCAATGAGACATGTCACTAATGGTGTATTAGTTCTGAACTATTCAGCCGTACTCGACTGTAGATTTTCTCTTAATCACATTGATGATTTTCCTGAACTTTATATTGTACTGTCAATACAGAGCAAGGTTTACAATATATGTGTGTGACCTAAATACATTTCCAGCTTGATTGCTTTCTATCCTCATTATTTATTCATGCATCTTACAACTAATACATAGTACATTGAAAATATCGCGTAACTCCATAATCTATCGACATTTTGTGCTATAACAGGTGCCAGCGGGTCCACTTGTGTCTCCCTGGTCAACGCGCACCGCAATGGTGCCTTTCTTCACAGGTAACCAATCTTTATTTTGAGCAGTGTTGTGCTGCTCACACATGGGTACAATATACACACATGTACAATTACGTTTCCCTTCAATGTGAACATGGGCTCCCCCTTTTGCAGGTTCTTCACAGCAGCCGATGCGGCACATGTCTGGCCATTCACGCTCGTCATCGTCCTTATAGTATTTCTTCCACGACCCATACCCTCGTGGCAAGCAAGCATGAGTGCCCGAGATGTTCTGCACTCGCATACCACTTTTCAAGGACAACTCACCTAAACTGAACAAAGGAAAAAATGAGTGACTTTAATATCCACGTGCGTTTCACGCGATAATAACATTTCCAACTATTTTACGCTAATACTTCTTAAATGCAGTTGCATGGGAACCCAAATGGCAAACAAACGTCAGGCAACTCTGTCTCTGAGGCGAATATTTGATATTAGATATTATAAATAAATAATAATTCACGCAAAGATAATGCAGTTTTATGACGGTCTATTAAAAATGATCATTATTAAAAATCACATCAGTTGATATGGTAAAAGAATCCAAGTATTGCATACTTACTTGTCAGTCAGATTGGCAACAAGATCTGTCACAATTTCTTCTCTATCAATGTAGACAGCAAAAGTGTCAGACTTCACTGAAAAGGTTTCTGAATACCCTGGGTCTGGGATTTTGTGGACGTTACACATCGGGATGATATACTCAAAGTCTTCATCATCGTTTACAATAACGTGGGCACTACCATTTGCGTTTTTCCTGCAACCACGAAATCGGCACGTTTTTGGCCAATCTTCATCTGACTGATAACACCAATATTCCTTCCAAGAACTGAAACCCAATGGCTTAGGAGTATGTTTGTGTCGAATATTTTTTACATTGGCAGTATTACTTAAAATCAGATGGCTCATCCTATACAGGAAACAAACTAAAATTTCATATTTTTTCTTTCTATAACATAATATAGGTATTACTTGGAATTATCGAATTATATGGATAACGGCCATACAGTATACAATTACACATATTTAAATAGTGTGATGATCATGAACTTATTGCAGGGAATTTCTCATCCATGAGACTTCGCGGTAACGACTTACACACCACAATTTCTGAAGGTGTTATAGCCAGTTTAGGATCACTGATGCATCTTACATTGAAAATTTTAAAAATCGAATGTATAAGTTAATGGGCATAACATTTTATAACTATATGAACATTGTACAACTAGAACTTATATTCTCTAGAAAGTATTATGCAATTCTACAACCTGTCTCGTAATGGCACTGAGGTATAGTTGTCTAAATTATTCCATTCCACACTGCATTTCATGGCTAGGAAGACGAATACACATTTCTTCTTCGTTAATTTACTCCTTTTGTCACACATGACTGAAGTTTAAAACTTTGTTTTTGAAAGCAGAAAGGTCGCAAAACTCACACAAGTTCAATAAATATATATTGCATGAATGCGTGGCAATATTATCAGCCAATCTATCTATATTCCTTCGGAAATATTTTGAATGTTAGGAGCACTGTCCACTGTCCTGCTTCTTTTACCGTAAAATCCGCAATATATGATTAGATATAACGATAGCAATATAGGCTATATATAAACAATAGACGTACCTACCTGACGAATAATAAAGATGAAGTCGAAGAATATATTTTATATGATCACAACAGAACGAAACTAAGATTGTGGTTATGCTAAGTTGTTGTGTTTCAGGGGATTTCCAATGACGTGTATATCAGGGAATTTCCCTCAGCATGAGTAATGAATTAAAAACTTCAAAACAACGCCATATATAGACTATAATTATATAGTAGCGGTAAGATGAATGTGTTTTATCACGATCACAATCTGACCTATAATAATATATCAGATTTCTCAACCCAAGCGAAAGCAACTTGCATAACGATATAGAAAAATACGGTAGCTGCAGTGCAACATACATATAATTATATGAGCCCTCATGTTCTAATGACAGCAGGCATGCATTGCATCACTGCAAGTGTATCATCAACCTCGTACCCAGGCCCTTACCTTCGCACGCCCTCAAGCTGCGTAAGACCCTGGGTATGAGGTTCGTGTAGCATTATTAAATTGAGCGTTAAAATGTGAACCTATGGCTATTAGATTCGTACAGGCCACTGCATGAGCTTCCGGCTATTGCTGTTTCGATAATTTGGCTACTGCAGCAAACACACTGTTTCAATGGGCGAAGTTCTGCATTCCAACTTACATCGAATTCAAATGTATCAATAGTTAATGCAAAAATTAGCAGCAATTACAGTTTTTTGTAGTTAGGCGACAAGTATATGATTACAAACGTGGAAACTTCGGAGATCTGAGGAATTTTCTAACGAGTGTACCTTTCGATATTACTACGTCAGACAACATTGACCAGTACTGGTTACAGTGGAAAGATATGTTTTTGATTGCAGTTGAAAGTTACATCCCAGTAAAAACTATGAGTGATACTCTCCACCTTGGATTGACGGGGAGGTTCGCCATTTAATCCGAAAGAAATACACAGCGCTAAAGAAATATCGTTTGGTCAAGTCAGATGCTCGAAAGTAGAAACTACGTACTTTAAATAAAAAAATCAAGTATGCTATCAGTTGAAAACACAGCGAGTATTTAGCCAAAATTGAAGGCTCCTTTAAAGATGACCCTAAACTATTCTGGAGTTATCACAAAGCTATCATTCACCACCGAGAGAATCAGAGTCCTAAGATTACATACAATGGTGTTACAGCTAAGACAGCAGCTGCAAAAGCAGAGCTTTTTAACTCGTATTTTTCCTCCGTATTTCTGCCGCCAAAATCTAATGTTAGTCCTGATGTATAGTAGATGATAACTCATCTCCTCTAAGCACCATCATACAATTTTCGGACATTACACTCGGTGTTGACGAAGTCGAGGCTTGTCTTCACGATCTTGACACATCACAGATGACATTCCATCACGCCTATTGAAAGAATGCAGCCGGGAAATCGCACCCAGCGTCTGTGCACTGTTCAACCAATCTTTAAATATTGGTTGAATTCCTTCTGAGTGGAAATCAGCTAACGTGACGCCCATCCACAAAAAGGATTTAAGAGAACTTGCAGAAAACTTTTGACCGATTTCGCTGTTGCCGATTCTCAGAAAGGTCATGGAACGCTGCATTTGTAACAAATTCTACGGTCATTTCAAGCAGCTCGTTATCAAGTTACAACATGGATTTTTACGAGGTCGCTCGTGTGTCACACAGCTTCTTTCAGTTCTCCACTCAATCGGACAATGCCTTGATAAAAACATCCAAACAGATGTTCTTTACCTTGATCTCGCCAAAGCGTTTGACTCTGTCGATCACCAAATTCTTCTTAAAAAACTGAAATCCTATGGTGTTACGGGTCAACAACATAACTGGTTTGCTGACTACTTAAAAGACCGTTTTCAAAGAGTAGGAGTGGATGGTGTGGCATCTCAATGGGCTCCCGTTACATCGGGAGTGCCACAAGGTAGTATTTTAGGATCCATGCTCTTTGTGGTGTTCATAAATGATCTTCCTGATTCTATACCAGACAAAACAACCGCTGCTTTATACGCAGATGATACAAAGTTGTACAGAAGCATCGTATCAGTAACTGACTGCGAAGATCAACAGCAAGCTCTGACTATAACCTTGATACATGGAAGGTGTTGACCGTGACAAGAAAGAGAAGCCCAATATTACACACTTATCAACTTGGCTCTAAGGAACCGCTTCGTGTGGGGCAAGAAAAAGATCTCGGCCTCCTTTTTGTAAAACCAGAACATTCCAAGGGTCCTACTTTAATCGAATAGTAAAACTATGGAACACAACCTATAAAATATCTCCCCCTATACTAGTTTGTCGAGTCTTTCAACTTTCAAATGTTCAATTAAACTCATGTATCATAATTTCAATATTCAAATTTTTGATGTTGATCAACCGTGTACATGGACCCTCGTGCGTGGTTGCTCCTCCCATAGGACATAAACTTACTTTTTTTATGGGAAGTGCCCCGAATGGGACTTGGAATCCCGTTCGCACTTTTTTTTAAAATTAGTGTATCTTTGCCCAATTATTTGTTAGTATAATTATTGTAAATATAGTTGTTAATGACCCAATAACGTTCTTTAAAAAAAAACAAGAAGATATACAGTATATTGAGTCACTGAGAATATGTCACAATTCTATATTCGACTATTGATCGTGTGTTTCTTATTTAACTTATTATGACTAGTGATGACTTTGCTGAACTTTAATTTATAACTGTGTACTGTAATTACGAGCAAGGGCACAGTAATTATATTTGGCCTTCCCAGGCTTTTCTGACGCGGCCATAACATTCAATATGGCATCGAACAAGGAGTGGATTAAATCCCTGGTTGAATTGCTTTGGATTATTCAATACTAAAAACATTGCCCGCACCTGTACAAAATAGCCACTTTTTCCTACGTTTAACCTGTCAGTCTCAGTGGGATAACTTCATTTGGGCGCCAGTATGGCCTCTACAAGCAGCATAACAAAATATCAAAGTTGAAGTTTCTGAGTAGTTATTACAGTTTCTAGACATATCGTTGAAAACACAATAAGCAATTCGGCAGCAGCAATCTCCCCAATGATCTGTAAAATCGCCGGGTGTTAGGTTAATTAAAGGGAAAACATGGAAGGGCAATGCAGTGTAACAAAGTTGATTGTATCTGAGCTTTGCGCTCAAGATACATCAGCCACAAAGGGTCCCCTTTCAGTTCAGGTATGGAATATACGTTAGCCCATAAAATAATAAAGTAAGGCGCATCAGCGCGCATTGCAACCTCGAAAGAAGGCAGATAGTCCGATTAACCCATAAGTGGCAACAGTCTCCCTTTGACGAGTAACATCGTCTGGCGTTGGACAGAGTAAAATAATCCGGTGCTAGAATAATAAAATAATAAAGTAGCTAGGGCATATCAGGGCCTAATGCCCTTAAATGGTTAAAATACAAGGCTAAAAATTTAACCATTTTTGTCCAACTTGTATATTAAAAAATTGAACAATAGTGGCCCAATTTCCCCACACTATCTCCCCTACATACAACATTATTTCTGAAATTTTAAAATTCTCACATTCCAGAGCTGTAATCCCATGATATGTATGACATGTAAGAAGAGACAAGCCATATTTAGTGCCAGGGGGTATATGTTAGGAGTAACACATTAACATACAAGTGATGTAACTTTGGGCTAAAGTATTCCCTGTATTTCCACTTAGAAACTTCAACTTTGAAATGGTGTTATGCTGCCTACAGGGTCCATACCGGCACCCAAAGGAGTTTAGTTATGCCACTCAGAAACTGATAGGTTAAAGATAGAAAAAAGCAAGTGGCTACTTTGTACATGTGGACAATGTTTTTAGTATCGAATAAGGATTTAATTAAACAAATACCACCTCAACTTGCATGAAAGAGCACAATATCAACACTTATAATACCATTGTTGAGTAGTCATGCATACTAATAGTAAAAAATTCTGTGTCAAAACTCAAAACCTTTTTCAGACAAGAATTATATACCTGGTGTTTTGTCATATCTAGTATTTACAACCACAAAACTATTTTGAAGCATAAAGAAGAAACGACCAAGATAAATCACATAGAAATTTTTAATTAGCTGCATCAGTTTTACAAGTATACATACACAGTGCTTTCATTCTCTGTCTTTCTTTCCTTTAATAACAAGTGTCAGAACCTCCACTTGTGTCTTCCTCCTCAACTTGCACTGCAATGGTGTTTGCATTAACAGTCATCCAAACCTCATTATTAGGGTTATTGTGCTTATGACACATGGGTATAATCCATACCCCATTTTCCCCATCAATCTCTACGTGGGCTCCATCTGTGGCCGTCTTGGAACAACCATGGATGCGACACTGTGCTGGCCATGATGTATCGATATCCGTTTCACCAATGTAAAACTGTTTCCACGAACTATAACCTCGCAGTGCATTGCACTCACTAGTGCCCTCGATGTTGCGCACATCACTGTCAGCTTCCAAGGTTATCTGCCTGCGAAACGTGAAAAAATTTAAAAAAATAGTTTACGTAGTTTATAGACACTGTGGTTGCCCAATTCTCCCAAGACAGAAAGAAGTTCATACAAATAAAAGCAACTCGACAACTATAATATAATTCACATTATATAACTAGAATTGCATAAACTGTGCTTGACCTCTCAAAATCGAGAACCATGCAGACGATAATTTAAAAAAATAGAATATAAAACAAAAACCGAAAAATGAAAACATCTTGAAAAATCAAGATATATGTGCTGAAGCAAGACGTACATTTTAAATTGTTATATTTAGATCCTATTATAGAATTTCCACTAGAGAGTAATTTTTTCTTGTCTTTTCTAATTAGTTTGGAATCTGAACGTCTGTTGAGAAGGTACGTACACTATATCCTAATGTCTTATCGCTATATTTCTCCGACACAATACAATTAACGCACGCGTGCCTAAAACATTCACGTTTTTCTGGACAATAAATTAACCTAGATATTATTGCCCGACCCATCCACCAACCCATGCATTCTAATTCTGACCAACGCGCTCATCTGATTAAGCAGTTCGCACTTGTTCTCATGTACTTCGCGAATACCTGCATGTACTGAACTCAGTGAAAATAATTGAATCGAATATCATTTACATATTGGGATCCGGCGTTAGATCTATATCCACTAATTCCTTTAAATGGGCAGATTGTCGAGTTAACCTGTTAACAACTATACTATAGTCACATACTACTATGCATTCTTGCTTAATTTAAAGGTCCCCCCGAAAAGAAAAAAAGAAAATAAGGCAAACCACTATAACAACTAAGTCAACTTATATCTACAAAACTACTATATACTATAAATAATTTCAATCTCTTACCTCGTCTCTTACTATACCATTTTAAACCTTGCAGTTGCATGTCAGCAAAATCAATTAACCCCTCGTTATCAACCCTTCCCCTAAGATATAGTTTAAAACACTCACTTGCCCATGATAAAAATCCTTTCTTTCTGCCTTTCTTCGAATTTCTTGTCGTGTCCCTATGAGAAGAGAACGCAGTGACAGTGTCAATTATAGACGAGCAACAAATTTACCAATAATCGGCAATTATTTGAATACCACGGTGGAAACTACAAAGACAAATGTCAACGAACACCGTAAAGAAATTCCAAATATTTAAACAGTTACTGTAACTTCTACAATTCACAAATACAATTTAGCCCAAAAATTTCAAGAAATATTCTATGTATTATAACTTGGCTTGAAAAGCTGTAGAATATGGATGAATCAATTAATTACCACGTGCATAAATGCAAATATAGCGAAGGCATGGAAAAATCACTGATAAGCGAGCCGAACAGCAAATAAGCGACTGGGAAATTGCAACTCCTCGGCGGAAATGCGATGTTCCTTTCTGAAAGAGTAGGCCTATAGGATTAGATAAGTTTAATTTCGATCACCCTAGACGAAACAGACTAACTCTCAGAGGTGTTGTTCCACTATACGATTGAAATTGTTTAAATTGATCGAAAAGAATTTCATAGCCTATATAAATCGCTATATACAAGTCTAAGCCTAAGGACGATTCCTAGTTTTGGTTCATTTTCTTGTGACTACACGACTCAATTTGAAGACTTCGTATCAGACTTGGATATAAAGTTCAATACACATTGTTTTGTGTATAAATATATGAACAATCTAATCCATCAGTCTGCCTATATCCCGCCCGAAATTCCAGCTCCGTTACAATCGCATATATAATTTATTCTTTATATATATACAGTATAAGGCATGCAGCGATATATACATAGCCAGACATACAATACTCAATATAGCAATAAAATTAGATATACAATAGACGTACCTATATACCTTGAGGATGGCGACTATCAAGTACTCAATCTCAATGGTATCAGGGATTTCACTTAGCATGAGTAATGAGGATGAAATAGATTGAAACAATACCGCACGTGGACTGTTGGTAGTCACATGACAGTGTTTTCCGTGAACAGTTCTTCCAAGAAATCACATAATATATGCAATATATCATGACATGTATACATATCAAATGCCTGCTGTATGTACATCCTTCCAAGCAAAGTGAAACCAACTTGCGTCATGATATTGAAAAATACGTATACGTTGAGAGACATATATACGAGTCTTTACCACCATTTTATGCTTGCTGTTGCATGATGCAACTGCATTTTTTCAACAATTTGCTTAGTTCTTTGTATGTTTGCATGGCAATTTGAATTATATAATATTTGTTTTGGATTGTATACAGAATATCACGGTTCATATTATCGCAAAACATTCAAACCATATAAGCCTGGATTTTCATCATATTATTAGCATTGATATCGAATTAAAAGCTTTGCAGCAATCAGTAAGCCTGATGTTCTCCACAAGCCAAACAAATAAATTTGCTTACTTCAGCAAATTCAATTAACGAGAAATTGTGTGTACGTACGCGAGTGAACTAGAGTGGAGGCTTAGAAAGAAGTGTTTGAGAAATATGGCCTCGGAAAAATAAATCAGGCCTTCTGTCTTCTGACCCATGCATGTTTGCAGTTAGCTCATGTCAATTCGGCATGCAGGTAACCAGCTCGGTAATTTAAACATGGACTTATATGATCAAGATGGCATCTGACACCTGTCTCTCATTAATACCAGCATATCGTCATACTATAACTTTTGCTCATATCACATCACCCATCGCAATTAGCCTTAGGGAACCAACAATGACAACAAAGGGCAAAAGAAGAGAAATGGGATCATCGTAATGATTCCAATTTGGAGGATATGTGAATAAAATATAAAGACCAAAGCCAATTGCGGACAGAACGCTATACGGAGGGAGCCGATATGATTGACTAATTGAAGCTAGACAGCTCCAACTACATTTAGTAAAAGGTAAGTGAAACAACAAGACTTTACATGCATTTCATTTGAGTTTATAAACAGAGGCAATACACGAGCCCAACGAATATTTACAAAACATCAAAAATGCTTATGAAAGAAACTTTTTGTTTCAATAAACGTGGTATTTTTCAGAAGCAAAACAACTAGCTCCTATATTCGGACATGAAACGGGATTTCCTATATTTTGCCTTAACATATATTAATTGCTGATTTATACGGTCGCTGGCACTCTGACTCTTCCAAGTCTCCTGCGTTGCCAGGTATTTTCATCCATCATCTATTATAGTTGCATCGACGTGCACTTATTATGCCTATGCTACCACTGTACATATGACCCACCGAGCACTCAGGGAACCAACAATTAGAACAAATGGAAAAAAAGAAGAGGACGACAAAAACCTACACATAATGTAATCATCGTGTATAGGGATACCAACTGGGAGGACGTGAATGAAATACGAAGGCCATGCAATAGTGAACAGAGCCAACAAGATTGTTCGACAGTATATTTGGACAAATATGCTTCATATGTAAAAGAGAACCCATCCAATTTGTTGCAAGTAGTTACTTCAGAGATTTTTTTACTCATTTTGTATACATCAGGTTTTTATAAAGATTAAGCACATGATTTTAGTTGGCCGATTTATCAGTTTAGGTGGATGGTATTTAACGAAGCCATTGCTGAGGAGTGAGAATAATGAGCCCACATTCTACAATCCTGCATGACAAAACCATCTGCGACACTCTATTAAAACTTTCCTTTGTGGCTTTTTTTACCAGTTAGACCAGAATAATTTACTCGTTTGCCCCCCTCGCCCCCCAAAACAATGTTGAACGTTTTATCCGTATTCTACGAATGCAATCAACATTGAATGGTGGGGGAAAGGGGGAGGTTTTATAAATTTACGATAATATTACGACATTTTGTCAAGTAATTGGAAGTGTCGCAGATCTTTTGTCCAGGATTGTAGTTAGACAAGATCAATAATTTTTATGAGCACCTTTAATAGAGCAAAAAAATTTTGCTAACGAGCTTTGTGTTCTTTTTGCTTTTATATGCATATAATTAAGATATGACCATATATATGTAGACATAGTTTTTCAATGCATCAGCATGCAGCTTATTTGGTCAAACAGAGTAATCGCAGTATCATGTCCTACATGCATATTATCTAAATTATAACAAATCACTTTTTATATTAATATTATTTTAATAAACGAAATTACCAGGGCCATATATATCAAGTCAATGAGACATGTCACTATTACTGTGTTAATATGAACTGTTCAGCCGTACTCGACTGTCGACCGTTCTTATTCAACTTCTCTTAATTACATTGATGATTTTCCTGAACTTTATATTCATGTACTGTCAATACAGAGCAAGGTGCCAAGGTTACAATATATGTGTGTGACCTAAATACATTTCCAGCTTGATTGCTTTCTATCCTCATTAATTATTCATGAATCTTACAACTAATACATAGTACATTGAAAATATAGTGCAACTCCATAATCTATCGACATTTTGTGCTATAACAGGTGCCAGCGGGTCCACGTGTGTCTCCCTGGTCAACGCGCACCGCAATGGTGCCTTTCTTCACAGGTAACCAATCTTTATTTTGAGCGGTGTTGTGCTGCTCACACATGGGTACAATATACACACATGTACAATTACGTTTCCCTTCAATGTGAACATGGGCTCCCCCTTTTGCAGGTTTTTCACAGCAGCCGATGCGGCACGTGTCTGGCCATTCACGCTCGTCATCGTCCTTATAGTATTTCTTCCACGACCCATAACCTCGTGGCAAGCAAGCATGAGTGCCCGAGATGTTCTGCACTCGCATACCACTTTTCAAGGACAACTCACCTAAACTGAACAAAGGAAAAAATGAGTGACTTATAGTCTGCCAGCCTTGTAACCAGGCGCTTTAACTTGCTACGACATCGCGTGAATAGCGCGCGGGACTACAATTTCCACGCGCGTTTCACGAAACGGCATAGCCAACCATGCATTTTCAAATATTTTACTGGCAAAAAAGGCTTACTCTAAGGCGAATATTTTTTTATATTAGACATTAAATATCCCACACTAGTAAGCATCGAGTCAGGATTACAGACTTTCATGTAAAAATAAAGGTTGTATTATTGTTTATTGTTATCTATGTGAGGATATGCAGTGTATTATGACAATCTAAAATGATTTTATTAAAAATCACATCAGTTGATATGGTAAAAGAATCCAAGTATTGCATACTTACTTGTCGGTCAGATTGGCAACAAGATCTGTCACGATTTCTTCTTTATCAATGTAGACAGCAAAAGTGCCAGAGTTCACTGAAAAGGTTTCTGAAAACCCTGCACCGTTGTGAATGTTGCACATCGGGATGATATACTCGCAGTCTTCATCATCGTTTACAATAACGTGGGCACTGCCATCTGCGTTATTGCGGCAATCACGAAATCGACACGTTTCTGGCCAATCTTCATCTGACTGATCACACCAATACTCCTTCCAAGAACTGAAACCCACTGGCTTAGGAGTATGTTTGTGCTGAATATTTTCTATATCGTCAGTATTACTTAATATCAGATGGCTCATCCTATACAGGAAACAAACTCATATTTCATGTTTTTTCTTAGATTTCATGGACGTGAGTTACCCCAAAAAGTTTATGTAACATACGCTAGGTATTACTTGAAATTATCGAATTATATGCATGCGATAACGGATATACAGTATACTATTACACATATTTAAATAAGTATGATGATCATGAACTTATTGCAGGGAATTTCTCATCCATGAGACTTCACGGTAAAGACTTACACACATCACCATTGCTATAAAGGCGTTATAGCGAGTTTAGGATTGTCAGGGAATTCTTGATAAACCTGTATTGATCACATTACAGGACAACTACTGAACTCACATACTTTTATAAATTTTTAATAAAACTATACGGAATATATAAATTTTAGTGTTTTTTATAAGTCGGCCATCTTGGTTCTTCCCTGAATCCTGTTTTTCACCCCCGCAGAGCTACACAGCTCCCCCTAGCGTTTAGTTTTAAAACTAAAGATTTGTGACAAGGATCACTGATGCATCTTACATTGAAAATTTTAAAAATCGAAAGTGTAAGTTAATGGGCACAACAGTTTATATCTATATGAACATTGACATTGTACCTTATATTCTATAGAAAGTATATATTATGCAATTTTACAACCTGTCCCGTAATGGCAGGTATAGTTGTCTAAATTATTCCATTACACATCCTGCATTTCATGGTTAGGAAGAGGAATACCCATTTCTTCTTCGTTAATTTACTCCTTTTGTCATGCATGACCCAATTTAAAAACTTTGTTTTTGAAACGTTTCACAAGTTCGATAAAGATATATTCCATGAATGCGTGGCAATATTATCAGCCAATCTGTCTATATTCGTTCGGAAATATTTTGAATGTTAGCACAGTACTGCTTCTTTTACCGTAAAATCCGCAATATATGATCTGATATATACAAACAATAGACGTACCTGACGAATATTAAAGATGAAGTCGAAGAATATTTTGTATGATCCCAACAGATCCGAAACGAAACTAAGATTGTGGTTATGCTATGTTTCAGAGGATTTCCAATGACGTTATATGCGTGTAGGCCTATATCAGGGAATTTCCCTCAGCATGAGTAATGAATAAAAAACATCAAAACAACGCCATATATAGACTATAATTATATATAGTAGCAGTATAAAGATAAATGTGTTTATCACGATCACAATATGACCTATAATACATCATGAATCAACCAAAGCGAAAGCAACTTGCATATAGTGATATAGAAAATGAGCCTTCATAATGAGCCTTCATGGTCTAATGGCAGCGGGCATTGCAACACTGCATGAAAGTGTAGCATTATTAAATTGAGCGTTAAAATGTGAACGTATTAGATTCGTACAGTCCACTGGCACTGCATGAAAAATATGATCGTATAATGGAGGTCATGATGAACTTGATGAGCTTCCGGCTATTGTTGTTTCGATAATTTGGCTATATAACTACACAGCAAACACCCTGTTTCAATGGGCAAAGTTCTGCATTACAACTTAAATCGAATTCAAAAGAATAAATTGAATTATTAGCGATTAAATATTATAGGCATATAGCCGTCAACCACAGAAAATTTCAACAAAAACTGACTAGAAAGTTTCTGTTGTAGTGTTGAACAGAAACCGAATAATACATCTGCATGGTTGGTTCACGAATAATGCAATTTCTCTAAATCCAATAGACAACTTGCATGTTAGACTAATTTTTTATTTAGGCAAAAAAAAGTAAATTCCCGTAAAGAACTTATTAAAATTACTAAAATTGCAAAGTTTGGTTGCGAAATGTTGTAAAATACAGAAAATATAGCCTTGCGAAGTTTGCATATTTTCAGTATATTTATACAGTATTCCGAAAATGGTAAATATACAAACATACTGAAAATATGGTAGTCATGCATACTAATGGTGAAAAATTCTGTGTCAAAATCTTTTTCAGAAAAGAATTATATACCTGGTGTTTTGTCATCTATTGTATTTACAACAACAAAACTATTTTGAAGCATACAGAAGAAACGACCAAGATAGATTACATAGAAACTTTTAATTACATGCATCAGTTTTACAAGTATACATGTTTTTCTTTCTTTCATTTAAAAAAAGTGCCCGTGAAATCCTCTTGCGTCTTCCTCCTCAACTTGCACTGCAATGGTGTCCGCATTAACGGTCATCCAATCCTCATTATAATAGTTGTTGTCCTCTGTACACATAGGAATTATCCACACCCCACTTTCGTCTTCACGCTCTACGTGGGCTCCAACTGTAGCCCTCTTAATACAACCATGAATGCGACACTGTTTGGGCCATGGACGCGATTTGTGACCACGTTTACCGCCTTTATAATATTCTTTCCACGATTCATAATCTCGTGCACTGCACTCACTAGTGCCCTCTATGTTTCGCACTCTACTGCCAGTTTCCAAGGTTCTCTCCCTGCGAAACATGAAAAAAAGAAGAAAAATAGTTTACGTAGTTTATAGACACTGTGTTTGCCCAATTCTCCCAAGCCAGAAAGACGTTCATCACAAATATAAGCAACTCGACAACTATAAAATAGTTCACATAGTATAACTAGAATTACATAAACTGTGCTTGACCTTTCAAAATCGAAAACCATGCAGCCGACAATTTAAAACTAAGTAAAATATAAAACAAAAACCGAAAACTCAAGAAACTTGAAAAACTCAAGATATATGTACTGAATGAAGCAAGACGTAAATTTTAAATGGTTATATTTTGATCCCATTACAGAATTTCCACTAGGCGAAACTTTGATTTAACAATTTTTATTGAGAATTCTACAACGTTTTAAACACAACAGTTCTATATAGAAATAAGTAGAATACCCAAATGGACAATATCAAGTCCTAATACGAAGTCCCATGCCGGTGCTTACCATTCTAAAACTATACAAAACAATAAAATAGAACAAAATACAATACAAAAACAGCACAAACATGAAACACAGTTATTTATTAAGTTGTATGACATGGACAGTCACGCACTAATGACCATGTACATGGCATTTCTATGTCGAACATTGTTCCAAGCAAGTGTTCATATGTGTTTCTAATGTTTCTTTTAAACGAGGAGAGGGTGGCGAAGGTGGTTGGAGGTAGAATTTTACAGGTATAGTTCCATATTTTAACTAGTTGGTTGAAATAGGATGCTTTGAATGTGTTGGATTTACAGAGGGGAACTTTAAGGGTGAGGGAGGGATTTTGACAGAGTCGGGTCCGATTGTTGTTGGAAAAGGAGGCAAAGGTGTTGACATCCAAATCTGTGTTGCCAAAGAGAGCCTTGAAGAAGAATACCAGATCAGAAATCTCTCTTTCATAGCAGAGGGGGAGTTAGAGTAGGTTGAGAAAGGTTTCCTTTGGTTTTCTTTTCTTTGAGTAGGTTTTCTTTGCGTGCGGAGCGGAATTTTTCTTTGTCTTTTCTAAATAGTTCCACCCAAGAAATCACAAGACAAAGAAAGTTTCCGCTCCGCGCACACAAAGTTCCGCCTACCTGGCTTTAGGGTTAAGAGTACATGCATGAAAATGCTTCTACAACGGATGTTTAGTGATGTGTTAAACCACCTCACCACGAAAAATACGTGGTCAATTTTCACGCACTTCTGGGAATTCCACCATTTTTGGTCTGCTGGATTCTGAACGTCTGTTAAGAAGGTATACCATGGATCCCAGTAATGTGTTACTACTACTTCTCCGACACAATAAAACGCACGCGTGCCTAAAACATTCACGTTTTTCTGCATGGACAATAAATTAACCTAGATGTTACCCTCGCTATCAACCCTTCTCCGAACAAGCTCCCGTTCTGCCCTGTAAACTCCCCGAAATGAATAAGCCCTGACGGAATTGTTAAAAAGGATCCACAATTGCAGTGTCAAGCATGTTACTCGCATGCACGCGACAAGTATTAAATAAATATTAAATTTGAAGTTACTATCGCAATGTAAAGTGCTGCCTGAGGCAGGTTACCGCTGAGTTGCATTATTACCATTAAATTACATAACATGTATGTTCAGCCATTTAATCAGCCCTGCATTGGTGGGAGAAACCAAATTAGAATTTCTGTAGGTTTCCGTTTATAAATATGCTCACGTATAATTCAAAGTCACACTATGACATAAATGTGCACTTCCACTGGGTAGCCTCAGGAAAAGTTAAAAACACTCACCTACTCATCTCTTCTGCCTTTCTTCAAATTTCTTGTCGTATCCCTAAGAAGAGAATGCAGTGTCAATTATAGACGAATAACGAATTTACCAATATTTGAATACCACTCCACCGTAAAGAAATTCCAAATATTTAAACAGTTAACTTCGACAATTCACAAATACAATTTGGCCCGAAAAATTTCAAGAAATATTCCGGCTATGTTTTAACTTGGCTTGAAAAGGTGTGCATGAATGAATAAAACACGGGGATGAATCAAACCATGAACAATCTAATCCATCAATCTATTGTCGTAAATAAGTAGACAAACATTATACATTGATAACATGAAGTATTGACTGTTTTCGCGCCTTTTCATGGACGCCATGTTGTTGTTATTCCACGCTTTATATTATCGAAAGAACCTGTATTAATCGTAACAATATACCAATAAATACTTGAAATTATGGTGCCGTGACCAGGATGGAAGAACAACAACATCTAATAGCATCACGGAGAGCACACAGAGCACATTTAACGAAAGTTTTGAAGAAAATTACCGAACTAAAAGAAGTAGAAGACGATCAAAATGAACAGCATGCTATTGTGACACTTGGCAGTTATTTAGAGCAACTCCAACGGAAAGGACACGTACTATCAGAACTAGACAATAAGATATTTGAACTATTCACAAAACCTGAAGATTTGGAAGCAGATATTATCGAGGCAGAAGACACACAGAGTTTTATCGCAGAGACAATTTGTACAACTAAAAATTTTATTGAGAACAAAATCAAGTCCATGAACATAAGTCAGCACGACCAAGCAGCAGGAGCGAGTAACAATATTCAACAAACGCCAGAAAGCAACCAGGCAACAAGCAGTGAGAGTGAACCAGCAGGAAATCAACCATCAACACCAGAAGAGACACAACCACAATCAAGCACAGTAAGTGAAAATTTACCTGTCAATTTAAACCAGCCACCCACTACAAGTACGTCAGTTACAAGTACAAACCCCACCATTTCGAACAGTAGTTACAGCATGAGTCGACTCCCAAAGTTAGCACTACCAACCTTTGACGGCAACCCCTTGAATTGGCAAACGTTCTGGGATTCCTTTCGCACAGCAGTACACGATAACCCGTATCTAAGCAACATACAGAAACTGAACTATTTAAGAGCCCAGTTAATTGGGGAAGCATCAAGGTCAATCGCTGGATTTCCTTTAACCGAAAATAACTATCTAGAGAGTATCAAACTATTACAAGAGAGATTTGGTCAACAACACAGCAGTGAGTGCACACATGCAAGCATTATTAAACATACCAAGCCCGACAAGTACCTTGTCTAGTCTAAAGAGTTTCTACGACACATTGGAAACACATATCCGTGCACTCGAAGCGTTAGGAAAATCACACGATTCATATGGGGACATTTTGATTCCTATAATCCATAAGAAATTGCCAGCAGACTTGATAAAAACACTTACGAGAGAACACAACACTAATGAATGGAAACTAGATGAGCTCCGAAAGGCAATACGCAGAGAAATCGACATATTAGAAGTAGGCGAAAATAACCCCGCTAAGCAACACCCAAATGAAATTTGTCCAGACCCACCTACAGCAGCATTTGCCATTGGACAATCAAAAAATTCGACATACAAGCCCCGTCATGTACCATCAACCACAGCAAAGCGAGCATGTGTTTACTGCAAAGGTTTGCATAGTCCAAATAACTGTACTGTCATAACTGACAAGAAACACAGACACAACATAGTGCGAGATTTCAAACTATGTTTCAATTGTCTTAATGATAATCACATTGTGTCCCAGTGCAAGACAAGGGGTCGATGCAAAATTTGTCATCGCAAACATCACACAAGTTTATGTTCAGCAGAAAATCCCCCACCTCCCAACCAAGATAAACAGGACCCCACACCAAATGTTCCAAACCAATCAGTAAATACAATTAATACCGCCCCAACCGAAAACATGGCCACACCCACATCTATTTCACCCGCAGCAACAACGCCCACAACCATTTCACCCACAACAATTCAACATCTAAGTGAAAACAAACACAAGTCAACATTGTTGAAGACAGCCATCTCTCCAATTGAGTACATTGGGTCAACAGTTACTGCCCACATTTTGTTTGACGAAGGGTCTCATCGTTCATTTATCACCAGTAGCTTAGCCAGGAATGTGGGTCTAACAGCTGAACGTGAGGAAACCCTTTCCCTCGCCACATTTGGTGGGACAACCACATCAGTAAGAAGAGTAGAAGTAGGTACCATCAACTTGCAGACTCCTGTAGGAGAAAACATTCCCATTGAAGTTATCATTGTTCCCACAATTGCTGCCCCTTTACAAAGTTTTAGCACCATTGATTTGCATAATTTGCCCCACCTTAAAGGACTGACATTTGCACACCCAATAACGAATGAGCATACCTTTGACATTGATTTATTGATTGGAGCAGATCATTATTGGAATGTCGTTGAAGATGAAATAATCAAGGGTTCTGGTCCAACAGCAGCAAAGTCAAAGATTGGTTATCTCCTGTCAGGACCCATTCCACTGACCAACCAAACGTCTGCATTAAACACCACCATTTTAAACATCATGACAGCAAGCAAGGATGATGAATTTGAATTCCGACGTTTTTGGGAGCTAGAGTCAATTGGAATTCAACCACGTGAAAAGGACGATACATCAGATTTCTTGCAACAATACCAAGACACATCTATTTCCCTGAAAGACGGAAAATACCATGCCAAATTACCGTGGAAACCCGATCAACCAATCCTACCACCCAATGCTGAAATCGCTGCGAAAAGAACAAGATCAATGGTACGACGAATGGCGAATGATCCAGAGAAGTTAAAAATGTACAACGACGTGATCATTAATCAAGAAAAACAAGGTTTCATCGAGAAAGTGGAAAACCCAAACATGAACACTCGAACATGTCACTATATTCCTCATCACGCCGTAATTAAAGAGTCGTCTACCACACCACTACGAGTCGTTTATGACTGTAGTTGCCGTAAATCTTCAGATCACGCAAGTTTAAACGATTGTTTAACAACTGGACCCCCAATCCTCAACGATTTAACAGCAATATTGCTCAGATTCCGTCAGCCGAAGTACGGATTAACAGCAGATATCGAAAAGGCATTTTTAAATATTGTCCTGGATGAAGAAGATCGTGATGCTACCCGCTTCTTCTGGTTGAACGACCCGAGCGATCCAACTAGTGCCTTTGATGTTTACCGATTTAAACGTGTGTTATTTGGGGCGACGAGTTCACCATTTATTCTAAATGCCACCCTTGATAAACACTTAAAACAATTCAATGATCCAGTAGCGAAACGTATTCGTGAAGACATTTATGTTGACGACCTTGTGTCCGGAGCCCAAGATGATGACGAAGCAGTTTCATTTTATACCAAAGCACGAACACTGATGACACCTGGTGGATTTAACTTGAGATCTTGGGCATCGAACAACCCTGTTGTCAAGACGATCGCAGCGAAAGAAAACCTTTTAAATGACAATCTGAAACCTAAAGTTCTTGGCATGCAGTGGGATACTATCAACGACACCCTCCTCTACCCCAACAGAGTGACCACATCCGAATCCAATCCCCCAACGAAACGTGAAGTATTACGTACTTCATCAAAGATATATGACCCCATTGGGTTCCTTAACCCCGTAGTCGTTAATGCGAAAATTCTGATGCAAGAGATATGGAAGAGAGGGTTGCAATGGGATGAACTATTACCACCGGAAATACAAGCGAGTTGGGAGAAACTAACCAAAGAATTACAAGCAAGCACCCATGTACAATTACCTCGTCAATACTTTCCATCAACAAATGGGTTGCCCGAGGATACAGAGTTACACATATTCGTAGATGCGAGCTTGAAAGCTTACGGTGCCGCAGCATATGTTAAATCTTCCAAAGCCAATCATTCCTCCTTTGTTATGGCAAAGTCGAGAGTTGCGCCATTGAAAAAGTTGACGTTACCCCAATTAGAACTAACGGCAGCTTCGATAGGAGCACGGTTATGCTCGTACTTGGCAAAAGTACTACAAGTTACGAACGTTTTCTTGTGGAGTGATAGCCAAATCGTCCTCCATTGGCTTCACAGTACCAAACAACTTAAACCTTACGTTGCCAGCCGGATTGCAGAAATCAAAACTCTTACATCTATCGAAAATTGGAAATACTGTCCCACAGAAGATAACCCCGCAGATTTACTAACACGAGGCATCACCACCAACCAACTCAATGCATCAGAAATCTGGCGAACTGGACCAACTTGGTTGCTAGCAACTCCAGAGACGTGGCCATCTTGGACACCCTCAACTCACCTCTTACTAACCCAAACTGAGGATTCCACAAACGAAGAAAATGTATCGAGAACACCTGAAGATCCGTACAAACAACCCGGATTCCATCATCTATTAACGGTCTCTAAATTTAGTAATCTCTCACGACTAGTGAACGTCGCAGCATACGTTTTACGGTTTGTGAAAAACTGCAAAGACAATCAAGTCAAGGAAATCGGACCTCTAACCCCACGCGAAAGGGATGAAGCAACTCGTCAGTTGATCCAGAACGCACAACAATTGACATACCATAACGAAATCAATAATCTCGCAGCGAAAAAGGCACAACGATTACCTTTAGTACGCCAACTTCGTCTATTCAAGGACAAGTTTGGCCTTCTTCGCTCCGGTGGGAGAATACACAACGCGCCCCTCGCAGAATCAACGAAATTCCCAATACTTCTACCACCGAGAAATGACTTCACAAAGCTCATAATCGTCGAAACTCATGTTCGCCAATTACACTCGGGTGTGAACGCGACACTAACAGCGCTACGTCAACGATATTGGATTCCTTCCGGACGACAACTCGTGAAGAAGATCATCAATAAATGTGTCACCTGCAGGAAGATATGCGGAAGCTCGTATAATCCTCCAGATCCACCACCATTGCCGAAAGCAAGACGTCAACAAACACGACCATTTGAAATCACAAGTGTTGATTTCACTGGAGCATTGTACGTAAAAGAATCGGGAACGGAAAATAAAGCATACATTTGTCTCTTTACATGCGCCACCACAAGAGCTGTACATCTCGAAATTGTGTCGGACATGTCTGTACCAACGTTTATCCTTGCATTCCGTAGATTTGTTGCTCGGAAATCACTACCCAAGTTAATGATGTCAGACAATGCTTCTACATACTTGTCGGCAGCCGAAGAACTGAAGAAATTGTTTGAATCACCCATACTGAAAGAGACACTCATTAGACAGAATGTACAATGGCAATTCATTCCAAAGAGAGCACCGTGGTTCGGTGGCTTTTGGGAGAGATTGATAGGACTGACGAAAACAGCTTTAAAGAAAGTACTTGGAAGAGCGTCAGTGAACTTAGTAATGCTACAAACACTCGTGGTGGAAATCGAAGCCATTTTAAACGATAGACCATTGACATACGTGTCGTCAGACGTAAAGGACCAACAACCACTTACACCATCGCACCTCTTATATGGCAGAAGAATAACAGTCCTACCAAATGAGTCCCTAGAGGAAGATGAGTTGATTGATCCGAACTTCAACGAAAATGTAGAAATCCAAAGGAACGCCAAGAGACTAGTACTACTCCTACAACACTTTGAGCAACGTTGGAGACAAGAGTATCTCACATCCTTGCGAGAATTCCATAAGAATACTGGTACAGAAAAGGAAACTATCAAAGTAGGAGACGTTGTACAAGTCCATGATGATAAATCTCGATTAACATGGAGATTAGCAGTGATCGAAAGTTTAATTCGAGGACGGGATGGACATGTGCGAGCTGCTAACATTCGAACAGCATCCGGAAAGACTAATAGACCCATAACGAAACTTTATCCTCTAGAAGTAGCAGCTAAAACAGAAGAACCAGGCCTCGTAGACAAGGATTGTGTCCAACAAGAAAATGCAGCAACCGAAATTACTCCACGACCGAAACGGACAGCCGCGTGTAAAGCAGTTGAACAAATCAGGAGATGGACCCGAGAACTTCGCGTGCCCCCGAAGGATGTCGTAAATAAGTAGACAAACATTATACATTGATAACATGAAGTATTGACTGTTTTCGCGCCTTTTTCATTGACGCCATGTTGTTGTTATTCCACGCTTTATATTATCGAAAGAACCTGTATTAATCGTAACAATATACCAATAAATACTTGAAACTTATAATATAAGAAAAAGCGGTTTCGAGAACCAGAAAGTGTTGAGCACAGTATTGTGCACAGTATTGTCGCTCGGCTGACAAGGTTGGGGATCCGAAAAACGATCTATCAGATTGTGTGTGCGATAAGGCGCTATCTGGTGGAAAATGAAAGAGCCGAAGTGAATATATATTTTATAGACGGTAAACATTACTGGTAAGTTGCTGTATTATTAAAGCGCTGTTTATTATGATAGTTGGTAAAAAAGTTGGTTTTCCTATATTTATGTAGTTGTCAAACGTTCAGGAAAAGTGTTAGCTATAAAGTGTAGTTAGAATAAATTTCTAAATACAACTTACTGTATTTAGAAATAATTCTAAACATAGCAATTAAATATATTTGCATAATCTTTTGTTTACCCCTCAATTTCCCTATTGTTCAAAGCCCTTCCCACTTGAAGTAATTAAAGTCCTGGTCTAGACGGGGTATCCAGATAGATACACGTGATGTAAATTAAACCATGTCATTCGCCGAAATGCTATGAATATCTAATGATGTATGAGAAAGGACTTGTGAGTCTATCATCGGATCAAGCTATATGGCACTTTTGTTTTGACAAGTAAAATCATCTGGTGTTAAACAGAGTAAAAGCAAGGACCAAATAACCACCAATGTGTAAAGCTGGTAAATGTTCTGAATCAATTCGACATATTAGTGCATGACTGTGATTAAATCATATTTGGGTACAGTACTAAGTTCCATGTACTGCTTTTGAAATCTGTTTCTGAATTAAAGCTGAATAATGCTACAAAGCTGCTTTGTTTTACATATTTTATACATTATTACAGTACTACAAGTATATATTATTCAGTAAACATTTTTGATATTACAGAGTTCCGAAAAACATTATTCCCGACATTATAATTAATATATTTGAAGGTCATCAAAACCATGTTGCATGTACACAGAATTTAGTTGAACTAAAAAAATAATAAAATCTTTATTATTTTACTCTTTCCAATGCCAGATTATTTTATCATCAAGGGGAGAGCGCTGGCTTTCAATGGGTTAGGTAATTGTATCAGCATAAAGATTTTATTGTTGGATGGCAGAATGCCAAAAAATGCTTAGATTTTTCAAGGTCGTATATTGGAAGATGATGCTGACTAATGGGTTACGGTTCACTAGTACACAGAAGGGTTCACTAGTCCAAACGTTCACTTTTATCTGTCCGAAATACACACTTTAATTAAGTAACTTCTGAATTACAATTACGTGCTGAATCACATTTATCTGCTGTGAACAGCGTTGGCAATGTGGTTGTTGGACACTTTTGGCCAGACGAGATCGCGGTGATTTCCAGGATAGGAGAAAGCAAATTCGTTGAATTACCAGACTTCAAAGAAGGTACTAGTTATCAGCCAATCGTATGACTCGCTGTTGATAAAAATATGATGTTTATGTTTTCAAGTTGATTGGTTCGCTATGCTACACATACAGACAATAGCTCTGTGGAAAGTTACATGCTGAGTGTATTGGATGAAAATTATAATGTAAAGTATGACTGTAGATTTAAATCTCAGATGATGATTTGGTGTGCCTTGATCGCTATAAATAAAAACAATATCCAATCTCGTATGCATACTCTGGGTACGAGAGATTGTAATTTCATCATCAGTGATAAAAAGCAATGATCCCCATGTGTATGTCTGTACAACATTGGACAATTGAAAGAGAAGTTTGAACAATACAATTTCAAAAAAAGTTTAAATCATGATATCATCAGGTGATAACATGGCTGTTAACTTCTACTCAGAGGAAGGGAATCTGAAGTCAACAATAAAACTACCAGAACATCGCGAGGTCGATGGAATGGTATTTCACCAAGTCATTTATAAAATGACATAGTGAAATGCTATCCCATTTATGTCTCTGAGAGAAACATTCATATTTCATTCTTTGTTAATTACACTGGCAAACTGGGACCTCAGCGTCGTCTTGCAACAAAATTAATCTTGAATACCCACCCATCACGTCTCATCCAAGTGGTCCTGTTGTAAGAAGGAATATTATCACTTTTATTTAAGGAGATACTTTACATTATGTGTAAATAATTGCGTCTTCAGAAATCCGTATGGTGACCATTTTACAGCACAAAACGTTTAGGGAACAATGAGTGACTAGAGAACATGGATATAGGCAGTGAGAATCACCCTGTTATTGCGGTTTTGGGACTCGAAAGTCCTGAAACGGCAATCACAGGGTGTCTGTTGTCTCTGAAAAAGCTACATAACTTACCTGCAATTCAAGAGATATTCACCGTGTATCAACGGTGGTGTCAGATCGTTGTTGAATCTGGATAAAGCCGAACGAGTAGAGAACGTAAAATCTGTGATGCTGATCAAGTATGTTTTGTTTAATTTTCATTCGCACTTACAGACAGGTTAACATGGCCTGGCATAGGAATTGAACTTACTTAACGGCAGTTTTAACCCAATATTACATTGGCAGGAGGTGGCGCCAAGAAAGTCTATATGGGCGATGAATTGGTGAATATTGTTTCGCATATCATCGCACTAACTGTCTTTAGTACCTAGCTATTCCGAACGTATTTCGGAGTAATGAACCTTCGGACTAGCGAACCGTCAGACTAGTGCGAAGTCGCCCTGATGTGAGCGATAATATTTTGAAAACTTCGTAACTCAAGGGGAAATCATTGTATCAACGTAGTAGTATAACGATATCACAGAACACATAAAACAGCTAGCTTTCTACCCTTAATTTGAGAATTGTGTGGCGTCGCATAAACCCACCACTAGTAAATATACCCAACCAAGTATACAGTAGGCAAGTTCCCAGGGCCAGTAAGGTGGCGATGATGAGCGCAGTATTGGATTCTGAATATGTATTATCTTGGGACCAGAGTAGTCTCAGAGTTCAGAAATGACCATTTCAAATATCTTATATTTTAAAATTTTCCCATCCATCATGTCCATGTACCCTGTATGGCTTAGTGGTGTCAAGTAACGAAGTAAATATAGTTCAATCGTTACTGTACTTGACATGAGTACCATTTTTGAGAAGTCAGCATGTAACAAAGTAAACTTTTTCTGGAGTACTTTTACTTGGAACAAAGTCGCTGTAAGAAGTAACGTTTTACTTCGTTGTTTTCATTTTGTGGCGAAGCATTTCGTTTCTAACTTTTGTTTAATTTTACGTGATATATTCCTGATTTATTTTAATTTTGGGATAGGTACATATTAATAGGACCTCTACAATCCACATGCGTCTGGGATCTCTCGTTTGTGGCTTACTTATAAGCATTATTTATTTCATGGATTTCTTATATCTTCAACGGGGTCTGGAAAGTAGACCATGCCGTGAAATATTTATCACTTATTTACCGAGACCGAGGGAAACAAGGGAAACAGTGTGTTTTGTGGACCCGAGACCGTCGATGTTTCCCGAGGCGAAGCCGAGGGAAACATCGACGGTCGAGGGTCCACAAAACACACTGCTTTCCCGAGGTCTCAGTAAATAAGTGTTTTATTATATATCAATAGTCAAAGAAACAACAAATAAAGAACAAATGAACGCAAATACATGAAATATTTTATTGTTAAAACGTTAAATATTAAACACTGCGCGCAGTTACTTAAAGCGAAAGTTTTAATCACTAGGCATGTCCAAAGGTCGCATCTTCACGTGATGGCGCACGTGATTTTTTTTGTTATTCGCCGGTCGATAACGTATTGTCACAGAATAAGGCACACAAAAGGGCCCCCTGGCCGCCATCTTCCTAGCCAGTCGATTACATTTTCTGGCCAATAAACGCGCGCTGTATTGGCTGAAGGCCCCGCCTTCTGGCCAGTCAACTGCATATTTTTGCATAGAAAAATGGTGACACGTTGCAATGCTGAGTGGCCCTTCTGGTACTGATCTTTATTCTGTGGTATTGTTTCCCTCTCGCGCTGTTGCGAGGAAGACAGCCTATAATTTCGTCACTCTCACGTGAAATTGCTTTCAACCAATAAAACACTAGAAAAATGCGACTTTGACTATTGATATATAATAATTATCACTTATTTACTGAGACCGAGGAAAACAGTGTGTTTTGTGGACCCGAGACCGCCGTTGTTCTCGGCAACAACGGCGGTCGAGGCCGGGCCACAAAACACACTCAGTAAATAAGTGTTTTGTTATATAGTATATAAGTGTCAAAGTATGAATAATGCACCGGTTATTGGAGTGAACTTAATTTGAAACCAAAACTGGATAAATGGAACGCCGTAAATGTTTAGTAAAAAGTTTTAAAAATGAACTTTGGAACTTGATGGTTGACACGCATGCGTATTGCACCCATTTTATTATTGACCGGTCAATAAATGTTTCATTGCGGACCGGTTGCCGAACATGACGTTTTATGGATCAGCACGTGACACGGTTTTGACCAATCGGCAAACAGAAAAATTGAACTTTGACACTAACTATATAACAATGTATATTATTTATTATATTATTATATTGTATATTAGTAGGCTCGGTTCCAGCCGTTCCCTCTTGGGCTGGAACCGAGCCTAGTATATTAGTTGCATGCATATAATGCGTGTGTTGTTTTGGGTCTTTTGTATGTCAATCCATTGAATCCCCCGTACACGCTACAGACAATAGTTTTACTTTTTACTTCAAGTATTTTTAAGGATAGTTTGTATTTTTTACTCAAGTACGTTTTGCCTCCAGTACTTTTTACTCTTACTCAAGTCGTTTTATTGTTAATTACTTCTACGTTTACTCGAGTACAAATTCTAAGTAATTTAGGCACCACTGGTATGGCTGTGGTTATTACTTTTATCATTGTCAATTCACGATACTTTCAAATGCTTTCATGTTCCACACACAATAGCCGGTTCCCCTAATTGCGTATTCTGAATACATACAACTATACCAGCATGCTTTTCGGACATGTTATTGCATAATGAAGAAGATACCCGCAAAGTATCATGGTAGTTGTATTCCGAATACGTAATAAGGGGAACCTATTGTGTATATTTCATTCTGTTGGTAATCACTGGATGAATATAACTGCTTCATCCCCGTTAAAAATCAGCGTATTTTGTCCTAATACAAGGTGTCCAAGGTTGTCCTAATCCAATATTTCTTGAAAGGATAATTTGAATCTCTGATCAACAAGCCTGCATGGATATGTTAAAGCCTACATGGAGGTTCAGGCCTCCTCCAGAAAATGCAGGAGTCTTGGAAATGTGCAAGGGTCCTCGGAATTGCCTGTTTGGAAACGCTTGTACCAAAGCTCATTCCACTGAGGAGTTACATGAATGGTGTATCCGTATTTCTTATCAACTGCGCGAAAAGGAAAGGTCTATGACAGGACGAAAACATCAGTCGCCAATTGAATACATCAGAAATTTAATCAATGAAAATAGGAGACTTGGCTTACCACCAAAGAATGTAGTAAGTGAATTTTTAATACCTGTATGTATCACAATCTCAAGCTTGAAGCTTGAGATTGTGATACATACAGGTATTATGAAGTTGTTATACTGAATTATGAACTTGTTATACTGAATACACGCTTCCGGAAAGTACATCATCTTGGCTGTAGAGCCTCATTTTCGTGATTAGGACGTGGACTTTAACTGATATCCAAATACACGAAAACGAGGCTCAATAGCCAAAGTGACGTACTTTCCGGAAGGGTGTATATTAGTGATATATCAACTTATACCAAAATTTCCGATATACTGTACCAGAACCTTTTGGTATGATACTCAATACCAAAGTACCCAAATATTTCAATAAGTAAAACCGAAATATTTCAATATTTACAAGTTTAAGCTATCACGTGTTTGACGGCCGCTATTTTTATATTAAGTAGTCTTTAAGCTTACTTCCCATCCACACTAACAAAAGCTGAATTGCCTATTAACAAGACCAATAATATCAGCATATATGTACTTATTGATATATTAGAAATTTCTCATACCTTTGCATTTACATGATCTAATTTCACTCACGGCAATGTATTCCATATTTTTATTCAAAACTAGTTGATTGAATTTTCTGGTGGTCGAAGCATTTTATGCAAACAGAAGTTGTTCGTTACACATCTTGACAAGAATAAAGAGGTGTTCTGGGAGTTTACTGTGAAAACCAACTACGAGGTGAGATCTTCAAAACATGGAATACGATTCTAAACCAGTGACACTGCCGCAAACACAATAAAGTTCAAGAGAATGCATGTTCACGATCGGCTTGAGTGTATCACGAAGAGGGTCTATAATAGGTGTTAATCTCGCGTGACATGTGATAACGTTGTTTTGGTTAGGAAACAGGATGCAAGGAAAGAGAATTTTGGGGTTTTGAGAAGTGTTGGGCGCATAATGAGCAAATATACGGAAAACGCGGGGAATACTAAATTCGAGTACGAGACTTAGAATACACGTATATATGGACCTTTTTTAAACGTATTTATGGGCCGGGTAGGGCTGGTACGTTTGAACGCTCGTCTTTTGAAGTAAACATGTCCATGTGTGATGCAATGAATATATGCTGTAAAGATGTTTCAAGCATGTCGACATACAGTATAATTATGTAATTCATTAGCATTGCAAATGCTGCATGCAAGTTGAATAGGTTGGTTGTACAAAAGGTGCGGGGCGACATAGCACTCAACACGCTCATACAGTACTACCATGCAAGAAATAACTTATCAAAAACCGCGTCCAAGACGTGGGTATCTTGCGTCCACTGTGCGCCCGCGGGTGCGTCCGTCCTGCGGGCGCCGTGCGTCCACTGTGCGTCTGCGGGCGCTTGCGGGTTCAACTTTTTATTCTTTGCTTCTCCGATCAGTGACACTGATCTGTATTCTCACGACAAACTACGAGTATGATGTAAATATTAGATCGTTTTTCCGATTATGTTACGACGACTGCGCATGCGTCCAAGCGGACGCAGTTTTTAAGCAGAGGCCGGACGCGGGACAAGTTATTTCTTGGCAGTACTGTAAGGTACTCAACATTTTAGAAATTAAATTAATTGCACGAATCATGGTTCTTTTCTTATAGCAGGAGGTTGGGGCTTGTGATTACGATAGCGTTTTATTTGAACATTTTTATCTAACCGTAGAACAATCGAAAGAGTACTAAATACACAATGTCTTGTTTCAGAATCGCAATGGTCCAATCCAAGGCTTACAGAATGTGCTTTTTCTTGAAAAAGATTGCCGTGAATTCTGCTTTAGTAGCCTCACTAATGGCATCAGCGGTGAACCTTTGAATATCCATGGTAGCGAGATATCCTTAACAAACTATAGTTCTACTCCTGTGATGTTTGCCAAGATATGTGTAAAATTCTGCTCGCCGTCTTACGGTCATTTTAATGTAACCATTGTTTTTGACTTTGGTTTCGCTCCGAGGATTGTTCGATATGTGGGTGTTGTAGTAGCACCTGAGAAACATCTCTTTGAGAAGTTGTCATCGCCACCTACCACCACATCGAATGATAAACATAATGAACTGACTTGGACGCAGAAATATAAACTGGTGTCTTTTGATGGCAGTACAACAGGTAAGTGTGTAACAGTAACAAATTTAATGTGAGTGATGTGGATTTATGGTCTCACCATTTTATTGAAGAATATAAATATCTAGTATCTATCCTGGGTTTACTTCCCAAGATGATATCGTTTTTGCAAAATATTGTTCAGGCCTGTTTTCATCAACATTGTTACAGGCTAGGCGTTTTTTGCTATGTAAACCACAGTTATCGAGATTCAAGATAGTGTTGGCATTGGTAAATAAGTCAGCAGCGAATGCAAATTTCGAGTAATAAACTAGCGGCAATTGGACACTGTAGCTCAGTATTCAGAGTGCCGCACTGGAATCGCAAGCTACTGGTCCGTTCGATTCCTGTTTATTCCTGCACAAAACGATGCCAATGTATTACAGAACAGCTGAAACTTTGTTATTTTGAAACCGTAAACAGTATTTTACGTTTTATGTAGAAGAAGATGCCAACACAGGAGAATACAGTTTACCAGCAAACTTACAATACGGTGTGGAATTTGGCGCATTTGAATACATGGATGTTTATCTGACGACTGAAAATTATCGCGATCGTCTTCATAATCTGCTGTTTGTTGAAGAATACGAGAGAAGAAAACGAATGTCAAGGTACAGTTGAAATGTTTTTGTAGATGGAAATTTCTAGCAGGAGCAGCTACGGAAAATGCAACTATATCGGCCATCTTGCAGGAATGGAACCTGCGGCCCTGCGATTTCGTGACAGACATTATACCGTATTTCAGTACAATTGACCAGAATACTGTATTTCGGTATTTCAACCACTAGATGCTTAACCCATGTTTACCATAAATCATGTATATACTGTACCCATATTTCGGTACACGTTACTTTTCGTCTTGAATAAATCTTTCTGTTACAGATTCAGACCCCGCCCACTCTCCCTCATCCAGGTTAGACAAATAATACAATCGTGTTTTCTTTTAATTTGCAGGTTAAATGTGCATTGCCACGATATATTTACTTTATTTGGCAAGCGCTCAAAACTTCCATCAATGAGAACCGTTGATTCGCAGAAAGCTCTGTTTATTCCAGTATCTGAGGAGACTCTAGAGGAAGTTGGTATCCTAATAACCCGAGGTTCCAAGGCATTGATACGACTAAGACAGTTTGTATATGGTGTTGACTCCGAAGACTACGTTGTACATGAGGCTTTGGTTATCAACATCTTGAGTAGAGAAGTAATTCTGGAAATCAGTTCCAAGACACTGACCTTGCTTAAAACCATGACTGCACCAGTACCAGTTGATATTTGTTTCAGATTTGTCAACACGTTTCTCTGCATGCATTCCGCAATTGATCGTGTCAATCTTGATCTAATTTTTTATCAACCGTTGTTGAGACTAGTCGTCGAGAGTAGTCGTAATTTGCCACCTCAGCGTCATTCCCTGCTAAGTCCCACACAGGCTACCGCTCTTTCACGGATTGTTCACAGTTCACCAGGTAGGAAAAGTTAAAAATTTATATTGTATTGGTATGATAAGGCTGTATGGTAGGGATTGACTTGGTATGTAATATATACAGCAGGACCGGTTCTGACATGGAGGCGATGATGCTCTATACAGTATAGCTTGTGAAACGCAAGGGTTCAAACAGTCGTGTTTTGAAACCATTGCGAAAAAGTGATTTTAACCGAGAAAATGGAGGGAAAGTATCATGCAAATCAGGAGAATTTTGTATATGTGGATACAATATCACATTAAACATTGCCGGATAGTACAGTATGGTTTGACAATGCATGGCATGGTATGAGAATCGTTAGAGTGCTATATTGTTCCCTCAAGATTTGCACTTGCAGGATTTATTTATGTACCACGTGATGAACCTTTTTGTCTCGTGACTACTTTTGAACTGCGAACAGGAGAAGATTGCTTAAATAACGTTGGATTAGTGTGAACGGTAAATATAAAGTTCTAAAACGAACTGTAATTAAATGCCCATGCATGTTTTATAGTGTGCTTGTACACATTACTGGATATGTATGTTGGACACGCGTTATATGTCTTACATAAAGTTTTTAGCATAATTTAGCAAGCGCATGCGCAGTAAGCATGCTTTTAAGAACACATGTTTTGTAGAAAAAGAAAATATAAGTTTTACCTCGGTTACTCGCTGTTTTTCTTGGGTAAAACAAAGGACTGCTAGCTAGGCAGTTAAAAGCAAGTAAACAATCGCATCTATTATTATGGTCCTTCGAAGACGGATGTAAATCAGCGAAAGAATGGCGTCGTTTGACTCATTTTGAAACAAGACAAATCGTAGAACGTAAACATGTCGCAAGAATCTCGTGAAACGCTAGCACAGAAACGAAGCATTACAAAGCGAAAAATCACCAATCTTATAAAGAAAGTCGTACCACTAGTACAAAAGATCGAAAGCTCACAATTCGACATTGTATGTGCTGAACAATACTTAAAGGAACTTCGTGATTTGGATAATCAATTTCAGGAAATATATTTATTGGCCAACGCTCAAATCGATCCTAAGGATGAAGAACTGATCGCAAAAGACTACGAAGAGCTGGATGCTCATGACGATCGAATCAGAGAAACTGTAAGTAAACTCGTATTTTTTATGAACACTCAATCTACCAAGGTTTCACATGAAACAAAATCATCTGATAGCAAAGATAAGAAAGCAATTATAGAACGAAAATGGAATCGTATTGTGACTAACATAAACAAAACAATTGCAAATATTGAAGAAGCAACTGATAAGCCTAATGAAAGCGATATTGAAGATCTTATCGATATCAGAAATCAAATTTCTGAATGTGAGAAATCTCTTGATAGTTTTACAAGTGAAATTGAGTCGTCTATACCAGATTTAGATGATGTAGATGGTGGAAATTGGAATGATCTTTTATCTAGTTATTTTGACAAAATTAAGTCAAATCAAGAGAAATTATCTCTACTCATAAAGCAACATCGCCGTGAACAAATGCAGCAAACTAAAGAGCTTGAAATTGAAAAGGAAAACAGAAATAAGGAGCTCGAAGTTAAAAACACTCAACAACAGCATGAACTTAACTTATTGTTAAATAAAGTCAAAGCGCTAGAAAGTTCTGAAGTAAATGAACAAAAAACTGTGAAGCTTCCTCCACTCAATATCCCTACATTTGATGGGGAACCCACTAAATGGAAATCTTATTGGCAACAATTTCAAGCAACAATACATAACTCGAAGAAATTAGATAATCAACTTCGCATGCAGTATCTTCTGAAATCTCTTGTCACTAAAAGGGCTAGAGATGCAATAGAAGGAATCGATGCAGTTGCAGAAGCTTACCCTGAAGCTATTGCAGCACTCAAGGCTCGGTTTGATCGCCCCCAAATTATCCATCGTGCCCATGCTAGAGCTTTGCTAAATGCCAAACCAGTTAAAGATGGCTCAAGCTCAGAACTGAGACAGTTACATGACACTTTCCAGCATCATTTAAGATCATTGAAAGCACAAGACAAGCTTGACTTTGATAGGTTTATGACAACATTGGGCGAGTCCAAACTTGATTCCCAAACAATGATTGAATGGCAAAAATTTACACAAGCAGAAAAGGATGTGCCTTCCTATACCAAATTTCTTGAATTTCTTGACCTCAGAGCAACAACTACTGAACTAACTTCCTTTGATGGAAATCAAAGAAAATTTCAGCCCTTTAACAAGAAACCAAAGTCGTACAGTCCTGGGAATTTTGGCAAATCAGAATCAGTCCATACCACTACCACACAAGTTAAGTGTTCAGCTTGCAATGGGCAGAAACACAGCATAGCCTATTGTCAAGCCTTCAAAGAGAAATCCCTTTCCGAGAAGCGTGCCTTTGTGTATGAAAAGGGACTTTGCCTCAATTGTCTGAAGGGAAGACATATGGCAAAGCAATGTCCTTCACCACATTCATGT